TGTTAATCTTGATCTGAACCACTTCTCACTTCCAGAGTTAGCCCCGTTTCTGTCACGGGCCGCGTGTGTGTGTGTGTGTGTGTGTGTGTGTGTGTGTGTGTCAGGGTTTAGAACTGCGCTGGGCTGGTGCTGAACGCTGGCGGCCACGGGCTGGGGTATGTGTTCGGGAGCTGAGCCCAGACCTCACTGCCCCTGCTCCTCCCATTCCTGTCCCAAGCTGCTCTGCGCTGTGTTTCTGGCATGGCCCCTCTAGGCCTGTTACCCCCCTTTTAGTACCAGGACTTCCATAGTTCCTTGAATGCTGATGTCCGTTTACTGTGAGCAAACCAGAGGTGGGTAAGGGTGCGTGGAGAGTCGATTTGCATGTAGAACTGAGATGTAGAAGGCTCGGGTTGTTTGTCAGTGGAAGCATTTCTCAGCTTCTAGCAGTGGCCAACCCAGCGGCCAGCCATGGCCGAAGGTCAGACTTCCCGCAGTTTTTCCCTCCCAGGACTCCGCTCCCTCCCAGGTCTCGGCAGAGCAGCCCCCTCACCTGAGGCTCCACCTGCGGGGGGTTCCGGCCCCAGGGCCCCAGGGCCGAGGGCGCCCGGGACTCAGCAAACATTGTGGGAAATACCGAGATGTGCAGTGGTCCCAGGTTCTGGGGGCACATGGTTTGCTAGTGGAAAACATAAAATCTGTAGACTCCTGAGGCACAAAACATCTTTTTGTCTTGTCTTTGCTTCACTCTTCCATCACCCGATTCTTTCTCTGGACTGTAGACCGACGCTCTAACTGCTGAGCCAAACCGGCCAGGCCGTCACCCAGGTCTTGAATATGGAGACAAACAGGTAGCACAGTGATGTCTGAGCCTCACTCTCTCCCCCTCTGCCCCTGACCTCGCCTGCAGACGGAAGCTTTCGGAAGCTATGGCTAGAGATGGGTCAAGTTGACAAGCCAGATGGGAGACTAGCCCCCAGACCATTTAATTGGCCTTTGAATAACTGAGAATTTGACTAGTGGAATAAGCCTTCAAAAAATAAAATAATAATTCTGCTTAGAATCATTTCATATATTTCCCCCATGGTTATTAGAGTAAAATCATTAAAATTTAGTGTTTACTGAAACTTCGCATTGGATTTTCATAACGTATTGTGTTGTATTCGTGTGCCCAATAAGACCGAGCTCACAGAGAGTCAGCATGAGTTACAGTTAAAATAGTATGCCTTCTTTTTATTACTTGGCTTGTAGTCCTTTCTCTCAGATAATTCTGTCTGTCAAAGCACATATTTCAAATGTTCATTATTAAACTAGGTGAACTTTTGAACGTGGCTGACATTTGTAATTATTTCTTTTCATTTTGAGGCAACTGTAGATTCACATGCAGTTATGAGAAATAATGCAGAGAGATCCACTTACCTGTTCCCAGCTGTGGCGCCGCCCCACAGCCAGGGTGGCTCAGGGTGCCCGCTCGTAGCCACACTCATGCCCCCAAACCCCCCTGGCAACCCCCAAGCTGGTGTCCATCTCTGTAATTTCATAGCCTACTTGTATTTATTTATTTATTTTAGAGAGAGGAAGGGGAAGAGAGAGAGAGAACGAAACATCTATGTGAGAGAGAAACAGTGATCAGTTGCCTCCCTCACGAACCCCGACCGGAATCGAACCCCAAACCTAGGTATGTGCCCTGACCGGAAATGGAACCTGCAACCTTTTGGTGTATGGAAGGACGCTTTAACCAACTGAGCCACCTGGACAGGGCTCTGTGTAAACTATTTTAAACATTGTGTCATCATCAACAGTCTCGGGTCCCCTAATAAAAACCATTTCCACTTCAAGGTTATGAGAATTGGTACATAGAACTGATGGACTCAGCAAGCCATGTCCTGGTTGAGTACGAATGAAGACACGTAAGGATTTCTAAGGTCCTTCCCCCACTTCCTTCCTATGTTTCTTTCACGGTATGTCCAGTTGAACCTTTGCAAACTGAGGCGTCGTGAGGATTCTGATGAAACGTCTGCGTGTCTAATAGTCTATACACGTCAGCCGATTTCGATGTGAAGAGAATGGACTCTGGGTGTTGGGTTCTTGGAAATAATAAAAAAGGAACGTTTGGTGAGAAGGCCGGGAAGATCGTTAGTCACAGTTGTGCTTTGCTCGCAAAAGGAAAAGTGGGACAAATGAGTTTAGGTTGCTGGTTTCTGGTCGTTACCTGAGCATTCCCCGTAGTACTCTGTGTGTCTGTAGACTTTCCGAAGGTCCTCGTCTTCAGCAGGTGTGTTCATGTCACCAGGCTCCTCCCTCAGCTCTCCGTGCATTCGAGCGCCCCGTGCCCGTCCAGCAGTACATGGATGCTTCCTGGTGGAAGAGAAGGAACATGGGTTATGCCTTGACACTGAGTTATCAGTTACTTGGGAATTTCAGTTCCAAGGAGACTACCCAACTCAGTCATTTTTTCACTTAAAAACATAATTCCATTGGAAAGCGAACACACTCTTTCCCTCAGTTTTAAATGAAAAGGTCGTTTTGAATGAGTAAGTGAGAGCTTGAGATGTGCAGTGTTCTGAGATGAGGATGTTGGGAAACGTGAATGTTTTTCAGCAGCAGAGGGAACCTTGAAATGTAGTATTGGGCAATTGCTTTCTAATTACCTTCGGGCCCTGAATTGAGGGTTTCTGTTTACTTTGGCTTCAGATTACTGAAGTGGGAAATAGCAGTGATGCTGGCCCGAGTAATAAGCACCACACCGTTGTCACAGAGACTTTGTAGATGTTGCTTGTGGTTGTGTTTCTAGCTCCTAAAATAGTTCTTGACACACAAGAGGCAACTGATACCATTTTGTGAAAGAATAGATAATAAACACAGGATAATAGTTTGAGAAGTGGCACAAGGTCTTCGTCTTCTTTGCAGAAAGTACCGTTTAATTTATTTCCCCCGAGAATGTGAAATTAAATGTATTTGCTTTCGGTAAGAAATCTGCCTTGCTGTGGTAAGATGTCCTATACAGTATAAATGACATTTTTTTTTAAAGGTTTTTAAAAAAAAATTTTCCCCCTTTATTGGTTTTAGAGAAAGGGGACGTGAGAGGGAGAGAGAGAGAGAGAAACATCGATGAGAGAACATCAGTTGACTGCCTCCCGCATGCCCCCCACTGGGGATTTGGCCCACAACCTGGGCATGTGTCCTGACCAGGAATCAAACTAGCGACCTCTTGGTGAATGTGTTGACACTCAACCACTGAGCCATACAGGCCAGACTAAATGACATATTTTTATTTATTTATTTTTTTATCCTCACCCGAGGACATTTTTCCATTTTTTTGTTCAGGTAGAGTGGGGGGCGGGGGAAGAGGAACAGAGAGAGAGAAACAGAGATGTGAAAGGGACACATCGAGTGGCTGCCACCCGCACAACCGACCAGGGCCGGGGACAAACTGCAACCGAGGTACGTGCCCTTAGCGGGAACCGAACCCGGGTCTCTCCGGACCGCAGGCCGACGCTCTAACCGCTGAGCCAAACCGGCCAGGGCTAAATGACATATTTTTAAAAGCTGCCCCAGCCATGGTATGTAGGTTTACTTGCCCTCTTTTAGATATTCTCTTGATCAAGTACAGGATTCCCTAACACGGACTGTAATTCCTTGAATCCCAAAGCAAAGCAGTAGAAAAGAAGCAGGTAGGGCAGAAGTTTTATGATTACCGGACACTGAAGCTTCTATGTATGGATGTGTGGGGACAAATCTGATGTCCCGGAATCTTCGCTGTGGCCTCGTGCAGCGGCGATTATCTCCCACTGTGCAGGGGGACGTGGGCTCAGCCAGGCGGGGTGAAGCCCCATCTGGGTCCAGCGCCGCCTGATTCCCAAGTCCACGCGCTCGGTGCCACGGTCCTTTCTCTGAGTTCCGCGGTCGAGTTTCCGTGGTTGGTTTCAGTCCAGCTTCTTGAAGACGTTTACGCTCACTGCCCCCACATTCCTCCTGGGGTTCATTCCAGAGGATGCTTTTCGGTTTTATGTACCTGACTTCTTTCCTGCCGTTGGACTCTCGAGGTGTCTTTGAGATTCTCTTATCACTTGGTTTTTACTCTGTCCTGGTTTTCTACCTCTGACCACTTCCTGGGGGTTTCATTAATGGGATCGACTCTGGGGGGGGGGGAAGTGACATCGTAACTGTAGGGCGTATTCCTAGTTACAAGCTGCACAGCTCCCCTTTTAAGTCTTTCAAAAGTGACTTCCCATAAAGTTTTATAACTTTCTCCATAAAAGGACCTTTGGTTATTATTGCCAATAGTATCTTTTTAAAATGTAATTACATGTTGTTTGTTGTGGGTTACAGAAACTCAACTGATTTTAATATACAGGGTGGGGCAAAAGTAGGTGTACTTTTGTGAGCGCATGAAACAGTTTATTCTTGTATTATTATTTATTAATTGCTGTATTATTTTCCATATGAACAACTGTGAGCCTACTTTTGCCCCACCCTGTATTCTTTTTTAAAAAAATTTTTTTTTCCTTTGGTTGATTTTTAGAGAGAGAGGAAGTGAGAAGGAGAGAGAGATGGAAACATTGATGAGAGAGAACATCGATTGGCTGCCTCCTGCACGCCCCCCACTGGGGATCAGGCCCACAACCTGGGCATGTGCCCTGACCTGGAATCGAACCTGCGACCTCTTGGTGCATGGGTCAACACTCAACCACTGAGCCACACCAGCTGGACATCACCCTGTATTCTTATATCAAGCAACCTTGCTGAATTATTTCCAGTAGTTCATTTGTATTTTATTTTGACTTTTAAAAGCTTTTTAATTAAGAATAATTTTAGATTTACAGAATAATTGCAAAGATTTTACACAGAGTTCCCGTCCCCTTCGCCCAGCTTTCCCTGAAGTTTAGCGTCTTACATAATGGCCCTCTGTTTTGGCGCTTTGGTCAAAGCTAAAAAAAACCGTGATACTGGTACAGACTTTATTTGTATTCCACCACTTTTTCCACTAATGTCCCTTTTCTATTTCAGGATCCAATCCAGAATATCACATTGCATGTAGTCTCTTGACGTTTAATGTAGAAAATAGTGCATATGCAGAGAAGAGCAGTTTGGGGCGTTAGTTCACACATCCACGTGTGCGCGCACACAGCTCTCAGGTGTGTCTGCATACCTTCCCGCACGGCCTGGGCTGAGCACTCCTTCCAGGCTCCTGCTCCTCCCGTAAGTGTTGGTGCTCCTAGGAGTCTGTCCTTCGCCTTGAACTGGCGTCTGCTGCACACTCTTCAGCCGTGTGCGTCCCTGTCCGGGTTGGGTGCAGCCTGTGTGCCCAAGGCAGCTGGGCTGCTGCCACCGCCAGATCTTCCTTTCTTAGCGTTGATTTCTTTGTTGAACTCCAGATTTGTGTCTCTGGAAACCTCTTTCTGGACTTTCCATAGACTTGCAGTATGTCTTACTGGAACACATCTCCTTGTCTTCTCTTGTCAGCTTCTTCCTCCTGATTTCCCCTCAATAATGTCCCAGTGATGAGGCAGAGAGACGTGGATTCACTGCGCACCGCTCCCCTCCCCTGCCCTTTGCTCCCTTCACCTGGCACTAATTTCTCACCTTCTCTCCAGCCTGTGTCCCTACGTGCTCTCATGCTCCCATCCCTTCTCACACATCCATGTCCTTCACGTGTATTCGGAGCCTCGCGGTGTCCCTGCCACCCTCTTCCAGCCCCACGCTGTGCTCGCCACGCCCGAGTCCCTGCCGCTCCTGGGATGTGTGGCTTCCCCGCCCCGTCTCCTTTGGAAGTTATACACAGACGGGCCTGTCGTTGCTCTTCCCCTCTCTTTTCCTGACACACTCCTGCAGACTCCTTCAGTCTCTGTCATCTGTCACCGCTCCTAGTGAGCCTTCCGTCTCCCAGGCTGGGCTAGGTGGGTGAACCTTCTGAGCACTTTCAACAGCCCGTGTACACGTCTCTCGTGCACTGACAGTATTGAGCCTGTTGAGTTATTTATCTGTATGCCACCCTCGTCTGCTCGACAGTAGTGGATGTTTCTCAAGGTCAAAGAGATGCTGTGTTTTCCTGTGCTTCCTATTGTGACGCGCAGTACCTGGCACGTAGCTGTTACTAGTCCGTGTTTATTGAGTGAATGAATGAACGTATTCACCGTCCTTGGAAACCCTGACTTGACTGTTTCCAAAATCCACACACACATACATATGTATATATTTTTTATCAGGGATAAACCTCTCTAGATGTCAGTTTCCTTATTTATAAATGAGGAGGGTACACTGGACGCTGTCTGAAGTCCTTTTCGGCTCCTACAAACTGGTATTTACGATTTTAAGACTTATCATCCTCGAGCATCTTCGAAAGGGAACCTGCAAATTCTGAAGAAAATTCCAAACAGGAGTTCTAAAGTATTCTGAGCCATGATGGTAACACTGAAATAGTGATTAGGCTTTTTGGTTATACTGCGCCACGAACCGTGTCGCGTGCCACTGATCAGAGCACCTGAACATCTGAGTGGTGTCCCGATGGTGGCCGGACTTTCTGTCCCTTTGCCTCCATGCCCATCAAATCATGTTAGAGAGACTGTCAGTTCTCCTTTGCCGGGAATTTCCAAGTAAAAGTTAGACAGCTGTTTCTCCTGGAGGTCGTAGAAGGGATTTAAGATGTAATGACGGGCTAATTGACCACTAAGATCTTGCCTAATGACAAGATCAGTTAATTTTGTGGTTTCACAGCTTTCGTTTTTATGCTACAACAGAAAGAAAAAATGTTGAACTTTAGGCTTGGATGATAACGCTGTTTATTTTTTTCATTTTCATCTCTTACTGGATTTAATATCAACACGAGAAAAACCAGCAGAAGCCTTTGTTTATCGAAGTTGTTTACTTTTGTGCATCTGTAAACTAAACATAGTGGGTGGTCTCCAGCTCGCTGAAATGCTCTCTGTGAAATCTTGTCCGAGGTTCGTTTTAAAAAGGTCTTTTAGTGTAGTCTTTAAAAAAAACTTTTTTTTTTAAACTTAAAAAATGTAAACTACATCATAGATAGAGAAAACTACATAAAACAGATTTGTATTTTAATGAATTATTACTGGGTGAACATTCTTGTATCACTCAGGTCAGAAAACAGAACCTCCACCCCCACAGCCGCCGTGTGTTCCCCGTCCAGTCACAGTCTTCCCAATAAAGTGTGCAGGTTTTTATTTTAATCACTTCTTTGATAGGCATCCTTAAATATCCTACTTTAGTTTTGCCTTTTAAAATATGCAAGTTTTAAGCCTTTTTAGTCTGAGGTCCTCCTCCCATCCTTTTTATCCCTTGTCATTGATCGGAGAGGAAATTGGATTCTTTGACCTGGACAGTTCCTCAGGCTGGGTTCCGCTGGTGGCTCTGGCTGCCTGGGACCTTGCTGTTTGGGGCCTCCATCCTGGGATGATGCTGTACCTGGAATACCGTTCCCCCGTGTCTCTACCCTGGGCCTTGGTCATGAGGCGATCGCCTGCTTGGTCTTCAGAACTAAGCCTAGACCTCGTCCCTCCTAGAGACTGCCCAGTGTGTCCCTGTCAGCCTCATGGCACCTGGTAAACGCTAGCATGACCCCGAGGACATTGCTGCAGTTATTTCTTACCGTTTTCCCACCAGAGCTGCTGTTACACATCCGAGCCTCACTAGGTACCCCTGTGCGCCCAGTGCGTGCGCGTACACGGGGGGCACACATGGACAGGTCATGGGCACGGGGGACAGGCGAGGATGGGGTGAAACTTGCACGTGGAGGAAGCAGACCAAGGAGAGTGTGGAGGAGAGCCTTCCCATCCTAAACGGAGGGTGGGGGCAGGGGGAGCGGCCACAGAAGGCTTTGCAGAGTGGGTGGTGACCCTGGCGTCGAGGTCAGCGTGGGCCTGAGTGGGTCTCACCGTACGGCAGAGAGGGGTGTTCTGTTTTACAGCCATTTATTAAAGCACTTTTTAGGTGGCAGGCTTCATGTTATTAACATGGAGAAAATATATATATTTTTTCTGTTTGGATCGCTGTGGCAGACACTTTAAGGGGCTGATCTTTGTATCAGGTGAAGAGCAAGGCTGCCGCATTCATCTAAGTGTGAACGTAGAAATGATTACTGTTTCCAGAAGCCAGGCTGAGGGTCGCAGCTCCCCAGGGTAGGCCGGGAAGGGGACAGCGGGGACCACGGCCCTTGTAACGGTTCAGAAGAGTTGGGGATTGCGTCAGCCTTCATTTTGCAGAACGCAGTCTTGTTAGCTCGTCTGTTCACTATATTGTTTCATTTCCTGAAACGTGGAAACTTTTACAATGTACACTTTATGTGGAATGTAATATGATTCCTTTCATTCCCTGTCTCAAAGTACTACTATTTGACTACTCCTTTAAGAAGGCCCCCGCCCCCACTTCAGTGCCCGTGCCCCCGGCTTATGCCATGCTCTGTGGTAAGAGCGATGGCTTTGCCCAGGGAGCGTCTGCGGAGTCTCGGGGGGATTATTGTACTGTGAAGCCGTCCACGTGGATCAGGGACAGCGAGGGGCTGGCTGGGATGCAGCGGGGTGTCATTCCCCTGCCCGGGGCAGTGAGCGGCCTGGAGTCCTGGCTGAGATCGCACATTGTGCCGGCCCGCAGAGTGTCTCGGGGACCACCGGAACCTTCAGTCTGCACTGGTCACGGGCTGGGTGTTTGTGTCACCCCCAAATTCATGCTGAAATGCTAACCCCCAGTGTGACGGTGTTAGAGGGGGGGGGGCGTTGGGAGGTGATGAGGTCATGAGGGTGGAGCCTTCACGAGTGGGATCAGTGTCCTTATAAGACGCACCGACCTCCCGGCCCCACTGGGCAAGGACTCAGAAGGGGGCTGTTTGTGAAGCAGGAAAAGGGCCCTCACCTGACCCCAAAGCTAACGGAGCCTCGATCGTGGAATCCTCAGCCTCCAGAACGGTCAAAAATAAATGTTTGTTGCTAAATCACCCAATCTGTGCTGTTCTTTTTAATAGCAGCCGGATTCGTGGAAGTACCCTTTGGTACATTGCTACCTAAATTTGACACTAATTGCCCAGTGATATATATGCCTTTGGTTACTTTCTGTTCTTTTATAACCCCCCAAAACGTAAAAAAATTTTTTTTTCTTTATTGAGTTTAGAGAGAGAGGAAGGGAGAGGGAGAGAGATAGAAACATGGATGAGCGAGAACATCGATTGGCTGCCTCCTGCATGGCCCCATTGGGGATTTGGTCCACAACTTGGGCCTGTGCCCTGACCCGAATCAAACTGGTGACCTCTTGGTGCATGGGGTCAGTGCTCAACCACTGAGCCACACCAGCCAGGCACCCCCAAAAACGTTTCATAGAGAAAGTTTCAAATATATATTCAGAAATCGAAGGACCAGCACAAAGCCCACCGTGCGCCCGTCACCCAGCTCCAGCAGCTGCCATCACACAGCCTGGTGTCATCTGTCCCTCCCTGGCTCTCTCCCTCCCGGCCACTGCAGTGTCTGGAGCTATGTCCTGGACGTCACATCACTTCGCCAAATCATTGAAAAATGAGTACACAGATCATGATGTAAGTGCTATGTATGTACTGGCACATATCAGATATAGAAATGATTAATATGTATCTCTAAAAGACAAAGACTTAAAAAATAATCACAGTTCGCCCTGGCTGGTTTGGCTCAGCGGTTAGAGCGTCGGCCTGCGGTCCTGAGAGACCCGGGTTCGGTTCCCGCTAAGGGCACATACCTCGGTTGCAGTTTGTCCCTGGCCCTGGTCGGTCGTGCGGGTGGCAGCCACTCGATGTGTCCCTTTCACATCGATGTTCCTCTCTCTCCCTCCTACTCTAATCATCACAGTTCCAGTCTCATGCCTAAAAACTTTAAAATCTGTGTAGAAGCACAAAATATCCAGTTAGATTTAAAACTTCACGATTTTTTTTCACAGTTGTTTTGCGTGTGTGAGGTTTGCACATTGCTTTTGACTGCTCCGTCTCTTACGTCTCTTTTAATTGAGAAATTTCCTCTTCCTCTTGGAACTCATGAATATTACTGTTTTCATAGTCATGTTTGATATAGCGCCCACTTGGTGTTTTCTTCTAGATTAAATTAAACGAATTGTCATGTCTTATTATAAAAGAAGCATATGCTCATCCAAGAAAAACATTTAAAATATCAGAAAGTATATCAGTATAAAATATTATTTTTGTTTCATCACTTAAAAATTACTGTTAACTCTTTGGGATTATTTTCTACTAATCTGTATATATTAAGTATATAATTTTACATAGTAAGTATTTTCTCTACTATTACTTGGGCTTAATTTGCTCTTCATTTTCTAGTTCTTAAGGTAGACGCCTAGATTTTCTAGTATCAGCACTTAAAGCTATAACTTTCCCTATAAGCATGTTGAGTTTTCATTATCAGATAATTAGAAGTATTTTCTAATTTCCCTTGTGATTTTTTTCGTCTGTGTTTTGTTTAGAAATGTATTGCTTAATCTCCAAATATTTGGGGGATATTCTAGTTATCTTATTGTTTCTCATTTCTAACATAATACTTTGTGTGATTTTAGTCCTTTTAAATGTAGTTAGACATGTTTTATGGCTGGACAACCCATAGGATGAGAAAAATTACTTGCAAATAAGATATCTGATTAGAAATTTGTATCTAGAATATATAAAGAACTCTTAAAACTCAGTGATAAAAAGACAACCTAATAAAAAGTGAACCAATGATCTGAATAGACATTTTTTCTAAAGAAATATACAAGTAGCCAATAAGCATATGAAAAGATGCTCAACATCATTACCACCAGAAAAATGCAAATAAGAACCACAAGATATCACTTCACACCCAATTAGGATGGCTGTAATTAAAAATACACACACACACACACACACACACACACACAGACTGTAACAAGTGGGGACGAGATGTGGAGAACTTGGAAGGAACCCTGGAATGTAAAATGGTTGCTTTAGAACATAGTCTGAGAGTTTCACAAAGGATGAAATAGAGAGTTACCACGTGACCCAGCAATTCAATTCAGTGTCTCGGTATACACCCAAGAGAAATGAAAACATATGTCCATGCAAAATCTCTATATGAATGCTCACAGCAGTATTATTGTAATGGCCCCAGACTGGAAACAAGCCAGAGGTCCACTAACCCACGGATGGGCAAGTCAGATGTGGTCTCTCCAACTGAATACTACTTAGCAGTAAAAAGGAAGGAAGTTCGGATACGTGGTTACAACGTGGATGAACCTTGCAAACATTATGCTAGGTGGAAGGAGACGGTCACAAGACCACAGATTGTATGATCCCATTTTACGAAATACCCAGAGTAGGCAAATCTCTAGAGACAGGAAATAGATCAGTGGCAGTCTTGGGTTGGGATGGTGGGATTAGGGTCATGGGAGGTGAGTGTTATAGGCTATGGCATGGTGAAAATGTTCTAAAATCAATTGTGGTGATGGTCGCCCAACTCCGAATATACTAAAAGCCATCGAAGTGAATAGACACTTCAATTGAATTGTATCAGACATGAATTATATCTCAAACTGTTAAAAAACATGCAAAGGAACCAGGAGCCCCAGCAGCTGAGGACCAGTGCTCTTGGTATTACATTATGATGACTTTGGGAAAAAGAACTCAGCTGAAGTTAATGATTTGAACTATTGAAGTCCATTAGGGAAATATGCATCGGATGGGTTGGTGTGGTGGCAGAGTTCATTTTTAAGTGTAGTTTTCAAATGACTATGATGTTAAGAGCAGAATGAAGTTTCAGGTGAATGAAGCCCACCTGATGTATATATATAAAAGTATATATATATATATATATATAAAAGTCAGGTCAAATTGGTTGATATTGTTATTTATATATTCCATATTCTTATTGGTTTATTTCTTTTGTCAATTTCTGCGTCAGATATTTTAGGGTTCTATAACTGGGTGCTACACAGTTATGATTATTAAATGTGCATCTGACCCTCTTATCATGAAATAACCCTGTTATCTTTAGTTATACTATGTACCTTGAAGTCCACATTATTTGATATTAAGATAGCCATACCAGCATTCTTATACTTAGGGTATGAATTTTATATTTTTTCCACATTTTTACATTCACTTTGCCTGGCTGTTTGTGTCTAATGTGCTTTTCTTGTAAACAGCATAGTTGTTTCATAAATTTATTTGGCTCCAGAGGCTGTTTTTTTAATGTAACCTCTGTTAGCCAAGTACATTTTGCAGACTGCTGTTCTAGGCAGAAGAATGCAAATTAGAAATTTGCAGGAAGAGCAAAAATAGAAAATTTTAACTTCATTTTTATTTGAATGAATTAGATGATTTGTCTATGTGGTGTTACTATTATATTCGTGTAATATCTATTTTTTGTTTTCCCACAATCTGCTTAAAATTGATAATGCAGTGTAACAGACCAGCGTCTTCAGAGACTTACATTCTGAACATCTTTTCTTACACTGTATGAGCAAATTAAGGATAAGCATTTTGTTTTTCCCCTAGATAGATATTTGTAAAAGACAAAAAAATGCTCAACATCACAGCCCCTCCAAAAGGAAAGATAAATGCACTGGTACTGTATTGAAGGGGCAGCTAGAATAAGATGTGTTGAAACTCAAGAAGATACAAACTAAAAGATAACTGAGCAGTTTGATTATATTTTATTTACAAAGAATTGGTTAAAAATAACTTTTAGAGAGTTTCAGTTTAGGCCGTGGCATGAAAATTGTCACAAGCGATTTACATTTTTATGTACTCTTCAAATAATGTGCACTTAGGAAAAGAAAAACATCTTACGCAGTTATCCAGCCAAGTGGAGGCGAACTGCACATAAAAGGGAAAAAGCTGCATCTTGTCCCCTCCGCTCTCTGACCCCAGAGTGAGGGGGGGGGTTGGGAGACTCCGCTCCAGTGGACCTGTCTCACCCTCCCAGAATGTAATTGACCTCTGACCCCCCCCCCCAATGGTGTGAGCATGTACTTGGCTTCTTTCCCAAGATGCTACTACACAGGTCCCTTCTCCCCATTGCTTCTAGTCAAACTGCAGCTTCAAGCCGAAGAGAGAGGCGTCGTGTCCATCAAAGGAGTGTGTGCGAACCGCTATCTCGCTATGAAGGAGGACGGCCGGTTACTGGCTTCTGTAAGTGATCTTTGTTTTTGTAGATTGTTTCTTTGTTCGCGTTTATGCTGTTAATATACTGGTGTTGGTATTTATTAAATCTCTATTAATGGTTTTACAAGTATTACACTATTTCATATCCATATTTACCCTATAAAATGCGGAGTGTGTTGCTCTGTTTCAGATACAAAAGCTGAGTGAAGTAACCCAGTAAACCAGCTGCTCCGTGGGGCAGAGCCTGGGGCCTGGGGCCCGCGAGGCGGCCTTCCCTCTGGAGCCTGACCTAGCTCCCTGCTTTTCACTATCTTCTCTGGGAAGCCGTGAACCTACACTGTCGTTTTTTAAATCCTTATATTGAGCAGTTGTTTGAAGCTCAGTGGGACAGACGTATAAAAGCCTTTGAGTATCAGTGTTGGGTTTGTTATTTCTGAGCTGACATACACACCCCTGCAGTGCGGAATGCTGCTTGGCAGCGTGGGCACTGCTTCTGGCTCTGCCCCCGAGGAGCTGTGGGTGCTTGGGCAGATGATTCTGAGTTATTCCTTTACCTGTAAAATAAAGACAGTAATGAGCCTTCCTGTCTCATAGTTTTTGTGAAGACTAAGATAGTTTCTATCCAGTGCCAGAATCATGACACATAATAGGTCCTGAGTTGATACTTCCTAGAGGCTGGATTCCAGGCGGCCAAGACCGGTGGAGATGGACCAGTTCAAGCAAGAGATGAGGAGGCCCAGCAAGAGCAGGGCAGAGAGGCCGGGTCGCAGGCAGCACCTGAGATGATATTTGGGGGCACAGCAGAGGGAAACGTCAGGGGTGGCCCCTAGGTTTCTGGTTTGGATGAGAAGGGAGATGAGAAGGGGGGAAGGGGAAAAGCGCATGTTCTGGAAAGAGATCCTGTAGGGTTAGATGTGACCTACCTCGGCTGAGTTGCCGAAGAGAAAGTCGGGCGAGGATGATCACTGCAGAGTTGGAAGTGTGGGACCGGAGCTAGAGGAGAGTAGGTGTTGACACAGGCTCTGGTGGCAGCAGCGCCGAGGAGGTAGTTAAACTAGGAATGGATGAAGGTTCTCGGTGAAAAATAGCTCTGAAAGATTGACTACTTGGGACTTTCACTTCTTCCACTGTTCTTGTCCTTTTTTCTACCCGTCTGTGGTCAACTCAAGGGGTGATGTAATACTTTGAGAGTCTACCAAAGTAGCATTTTAAATGTTTCCAGGACAGTGAATCAGTGGGTAATTTTGGATGCCCTTGATCTTGTAGGGAGAGGAAGAGGGGTTTACCTCTCCTCTTCTCACCTCCGGATGTGACAGAGCACACATGGTGTGAATCACGGTGGCTTCGCAGTAGTGTTGGTTTGGCTGCTGTCAGACACTGGGGGTGGGGAAGGGAAGAAAGAGGTGCACACACAGACCGTGACCTAACTAACGATGGAGAACCCCAGTCAATGGTTTTAAAGCTCTAGCCTGTCCTCCATCTGCCTTTTTACTTTATTTTATTTTTGTTAATCCTCACCCAAAGATATTTTTTCCATTGATTTTGAGAGAGAGTGGAAGGAAAGGGGGGAGGAGGGGAGAGAAAGAGAGAGAGAGCTGAGAGAAACATTGGTGTGAGATACATTGATTGGTTGCCTCCTGCATGTGCCCAGACCAGGACTGGGTAATCGGCCTGTAACCCAGGTATGTGCCCTTGATTGGGAATCGAACCCACAACCCTTCGGTCTGCAAGCCAATGCTCTAACTACTGAGCCACGTTGGCCCGGGCTGTACATCTGTCTTAATCTGGCTCAGTGAGTGATTTGAGAGTGTTGCCCTGTGGTTCTCCACTCGTTGAGACAGAAGATCCAGTAGCCTGGTAATGATGATGGCCGTTGGAGGGCTTGTTTATCTCAGGAACAGTCTGGAGAGTAGGTACATCTGCTACGATTATAAAGCTCCCTAGTTGTCAAAAACGATGAAAACAGCCCTGGCTGGTTTGGCTCAGCGGTTGAGCGTCAGCCTGCGGCCCAGAAAGACCCGGGTTCGGTTCCCGCTAAGGGCACGTACCTCATTTGCAGTTTGCCCCCGGCCCTGGTTGGGTCATGTGGGTGGCAGCCACTCGATATGTCCCTTTCACATCGATGTTTCTCTCTCTCTTTTCCTCTCTCTCCCTCCCACTCTATCTGAACAAAAAAAATGGAAAAATGTCCTCGGGTGAGGATTAAAAAAAACAAAAAATGATGAAAACAGAAGCTACTGAGGTCCTTCAAAGAGGAGAGGAATTTAAGACAATGGACCTGAAAACGAAACTGTCTCCTATTCTTACGGAATTCTGTACGAGTTGGAATTCGGAGAATTCTGATTTCTTCTCCTGGTAAAGAGGCATCAAGCTTCCCAAATTGCAGCTGCTATACCATCAGAAGCATAAAGTCCTCTAAAATCAGTTGTCTTCTTTCTTCCTTAGCTCAGCAGGACCTTCCACAAGATTAAGGTCATGGCATTTTATTTAGTCTGAAATGTGTTTCTGTCTCCTTGGATGTGTGTCCATTCTTCCTGACACAGCAGACCCCCTTCAAGTCGATGCAGTGAGTTTAGTCATGCTTAGAAACTCGTCACACACTCCTTAGGGACAACGCTACAGCCGTTCCACGTAAATGGGAAATTCAGGGCTTATCAGTTTCTTCTGAGGAGCAGCATCATGGTCCCAGCTTCCATCATTAGGGTCTGTGCCTGGCAAGTTCACGGTCACTCTCTAATCTAACCGCTCCGCTTGGGTGGCTTGCTGCCGTTCTGTTCAGCGGTAGTCCTCTCTCCGTCACATCCATCTGGCTGGGCTGTGTCCTTCTTCAGATGAGAAAGTAATCACACAGCCCCAAACCCAATGAGGTGCGTTGGTGGTTCAGTAAGTGGCGCGTTTCTCTGAGTCGGACCCAGAGGCATTGAGCTGTCAACAGTAGCCACTGTTGGTAGAAGCCCAGTGTGGTGACCAGTAGCCGTCATCTGGGGATGCAGAGGCGCCTTATAAGCTGGAGAACCTGCGGTTATGAACTTGCACTTGCCAAAAGCATGGTTCTTCCCACTCTTGTGTACCCGGCCCATTCCGGACTGCTGTGTGAGGGCTCACCCCGGGCTCGTCTGCACTTACCCTGCGGGATTCCCGCGGCCTTCCCGAGACGCGCCAGTCCCGAGAGCACTCTGGCTGCAGAAGACATTTTGGTTTCTAAGTCATGTCAGGTAGGTTACCACCAGTTGAATGCCTGAGAAAAGACAAATTGTGTAGCATTGTTTTCTCCAGCACCTTCGTGTATTAATGGTATGAATGCATTCAGGCTAGTAATTTCTCACTGTTTGAAAACATTTCTTAAGGGCCTCTCCCCACGCCCCCACTTCGAGGCTAGAAAATACAAAAGTTCAAAGAGTAACTATATTTACTGCCAAAGCCTATATTTGGAGGCAGATGTGGAGTAATTCTTAATGCACAACAGACCCCTTATTCCATTCCATAGTAGGATACATTCTGTTGCTAGGAGCAACAGAAGTCCAGAACAAATATTAGGATTTATGATTTCTTAAGTGTTCACAAAATTGTCGTAGATTTTTTAAAAAATTGTATATAATGAGGTAATTGTAGTTTTAAGTTTAAATCTTCTTCTGCTAGAAAGTTCCAGATTGTTTTCTATAAAGGGCTATAGACCATGATAACTGAACAAGATATTTGAGTAAGTATTCCAGTGTGTAACGTGTTGATCCATAATAGCAAAAATCAAAAATCGTTTATATTTTCTGAGGATATACATTTAATTACTGTAAAAGTAACATACCTTTTTACCTACAGAATAACTTTCCTAGTTGAGGGGTCTTCACTGTGAAACCTACATGCAAAATAAAGTAGGGAAACTAGATTTTATGAGGTCTCCGTTATCCAGATTGACAATACATACTGACCAAATCTGTCAGAAAAACGCAGACATTAAACAGGAATAGATATCATTTTAAGGGTGAAAATATGGCCCGGCCAGTGTGGCTCAGTGGTTGAGTGTCAACTATGCACTAAGAGGTCTCTGGTTCGATTCCTGGTCAGGGCACATGCCCAGGTTGTGGGCCTGATCCCCAGTGGGAAGCATGCAGGAGGCGGCCAGTCGATGCTGTCTCTCATCGATGTTTCTGTCTCTCTCTCCCTTCCCCTTCCTCTCTCTCTAAAAAAAAAATCAATAAAGAAAAGTTTTTAAAAAAGTGAAAATATAATTAAATGTAAAGTTTTTGCCTAAGAAGAATGATTGCTTCTTTTAGAAACCAGTCTTATAAAATGCTATATATATATATTTACAAGATTAAGATCAAATTTCCTTTGAACTTTTCACAATTTGTGTGTTTGAGTTTGTTCTGAAATAGTCAGCACTGATACTTGCATCGTGTCTGTTTTTAATTCTCAGAAGTGGTGTAAGCAAAAGCATTTTTGGATGCATGTTGAGCAAACTCCCTCATAAGCCAAAACTGCAAAATCAAAGTACTGTAAAAGAATAAACAATCCAAAAAACAGAGCATGGGGAAATGACCATAAGGTTCAAATCTAGTATGTAGCAGTGGGCGAGAAGCATGAGGCCAATGGCCAGGGAGTGGGGACCAGGCCAGGGAGAAGGGTGGAATTCCCCCCCTGCCCCCCACAACTTCCATATGTCTTCTTTGAGGGAAGTTACTGCACAGTCCACATTTATGGGATTTGGGGTTATGCTCCATCTCCTTGGGGGAGGTATCTATGTAAATTATTTGAAATTTGTCCCTCCCTCCCTCCCTCCTTCCTTCCCTTTTCTTTCCTTTCTTCAGTCATTTATATCAGTATATCCTCACAGGTATTTATTTTATACTTTGCATTATAATCCAATACCGTGTTATTTATTTTGTTCAAATCGTTTCAGCTTTGGCCATTAGGAGCTTTTCTGGTTGGCTCCTATGTCCCTGATATACCCCCATTGGGCGGGGCGGGTGTGTGTGTGTGTGTGTGTGTGTGTGTGTGTGTTTTAGCACTTCCTTATTTTTGGGCCTTCAAGATGCCCCAGGCTCACCTTGTATATTCCCTAACCCAGCCCAGAATGAGCCATTTCTCTAAGGAGCCTTGGTTTCTGTCATTGGAAAGTGGCGTTAGGAACCAAGACCTGGATGCTGGGTGTGCTTACTGCTGCTGAGGTTTTCTTCCTTCCGGGCCTCACCTGACAGAGCAGGAATACAGGCGTCTGTTCACCTGGGGTTGCACCCATCTGTAAATACATGACTGAACGTGAGGACGTGTGGATGTATCCAGCTGTAAGCCACCAATGGTTTTAACACATGTTCAATGAAGAAATGTATTATTCGAACCATGTGCATTCCACATCTCAACACTTTTAAAATTAAAATAAACCAAAGTAAAGGGATGTTGATGAAGGAGTGTGAGATGCATGGGCAGAGGATGTCCACAATCCGAAGTACGTCCGTGACGGGTTTTAGAGTCCTCACGATGTCCCGGGACTGTTGTGACTTTTACATAAAATGAAGTGCAGGGAAACAGTCAGCAGCTGGGAATCCAGGGCTTTCCCAGCTCACGACCTACCTGCACACGGCCTTGAGCGTGGCTCACTGTCCTAGGCCCTCAGCAGCTCCTCACCCACCTCCCCTTCGATGTCATTCCTCCAGAGACCCCCTTTCCTCTTAGGTTTGAAATGGTGAGCTGTTAACACTGGGAACAGGAAGAAGCTCCGTAAACATGTTTATAAAGGTTAACGGAACTGGTGTTGCATCAACGTTGAACAGAAACACTGAGGTCATGTCACTGAAGATGACTTGCACGCGGAGCAGGGACTCGAGACTGCTGACGGGGCAGTGCGGGGCCTCCTCTGGGGCCGGAGTTTGCCCTGCGACCCGCTGGAGAGGAGACTGTTTCCAAGTGTGCAGCTGCTGTGTAGGGACCCGGCCTGGACGTGGGGCAGACTTGGGCCCTCTGTCCGCGCTGTTTTTGTAAAGGTACAAGTGACCTTTGTCAGAGCAGTCTGTGGGTTCCATGAGGTAGTGTCCACTTAATCCCTGGTACTGTTTCTCTTCTCTGGAATAGTAGGAACTGGCAGGGAAGGCGAGCATTGCTGGCAGGGTGCGCGCCCAGCGGGCCAAGCCTTGCCCGGGTGCCAGCCAGCGAGGTGGGGCGCCCTGGGAGCTGACAGACAGAACACCAGAAGGAGCGTACCGGGGTCCTGATGGCCGGGTGCGATGGGGTCTGCTCGGGGGGTCCGCCTGGTCGTGCTACCTTCATGGGTGCTCTGACTTCCCCTCCACCCTGCTCCCTCTCACTTCGAACCTGGTCTCAGACCTGGAACAGGGAAAGAGGGGGATTTTGTCCGCGGCACTGACACATGACGGGAACACAGGTTAACCTCCGTCAACACAAGCAGCGTAGTAGGTTTCACCGAAGGCGGAGGGAAGGTATGGGCGGTGGATGCCACATCACTGCAGCCCACGGTCACCACATCCGGGTCTCTCCAGCCACCACCACAGTCCTGGCTGCCACCGAGCTGGCCCTGCCCTGCAAGGCTAGGGGTTTTATCTGCATCAGAAAGACTTCCATCGTTTCATTAATTCATTGCAAAAAAAACCCAAAACGGACAAATTAGATGTTTGTATTTTAGTTTTTAAAAGTTCACTGAACAGTGGTCAACACTTAAAGCCAAATAAACATCCAATAAAATGCTCCCGCCCGGAAGCCGATGACAGACCTGCGACCCGGCCCCCTTTGGCCGCCCGAGACGTGTGCGTTGTTAGGTCTCTCACACCGTGCTTTTCATTTTGGTTATTACACCAGCTCTTTACATTGTTTTGCTTATTGATTTATGTGGGTTTTTTTTTCCTAACAGTTTGCACCGCTGCTTAGTTTATCTTGGAACCAAAGAATCTGGGAAAAGGTTCAAGTCTCTTGCATGTGGGTTTTCCCAGCCCTGAAGCTCCCTGGATTTGAGTATAGACAGCGGCAGGCTCGTACACTCGTGGCTGTGGAGCCGTGGGCTGGAGCGTGCTGTATTCGTGTGTGGAGAGAGAAATCCGTGTACGCGTACATGGCTCTCTGTATGAGTGGATTCTTCTGCCTATAATTGTAACAGAAAACGTAAATGATTTTTCCTTTCTTCCCTTAACGTGAATAAATCATGTTAATTCCTATCCCCCACCTCAGAGGTCCATGTGTTTCATCACTGCAACCCTGTGAGGCTGATGTTTGAACATGTACCTGCAATTAGACTTGATTACTTGGAATAGTATTTCCAGATCTAACTCTTTGGTTAGCTCGCTCTTCTCTCCCTTCGATAAATAGTTAGAAATAACAAGGCAGGGTAGTTTCCCTCCCACGAGAAACTGCAGGAAGTCGTATGTTCTCCATTAACTTATTCCGTTATCTCTCAGTGCATGCAGAATGCTAATCATATATAATGTTTCCATACAATTTGGGGGCATGATATACATTCGCTGTTTTCCGTACAGTAAACTATTCTGTGCCTTAAAAACTATCCGCTACTGGAAAAATTATTGTAATTGAAGGAATTAATTCTGTTTCTGTGAGTAAAGTATTAACAAACTCTTCTTGCCCTGGCCAGTTTGGCTCAGCAGTTAGAGCACTGGCCTATGGACCAAAGGGTTGAGGGTTCAATTCCCGGTCAAGGGCACATACCTCGGTTGCGGGTTTGATCCCAGCCCTGGTTGGGTTGTTTGGGAGGCAGCCAATTGATGTGTGTCTCTCACATCGATGTTCCTCTCTCTCTCTCTCTCTCTCCTTCCCTTCCACTCTATCTAAAACTCAATGGAAAAGTATCCTCTGGTGAGGATTAACAGAAACAAAAAAACAAACCCTTCTCTGTCTTGGGAAAGTTACCTGTCCACGTTGTTTCAGGGGAACGTATTGGTGGGTAACCTGCCTCTGCATTGGCATGAGTATGGCTGGATATAAGTCCCCACCTGGGAGCCAGACTTGGGTTTTCCTGGTGTGGCGGGTTCTCGGTACGGGGTGTGTCCTCCTTCATAGGGAGCCCTGAAAGCTACGTGCACGGGGTACTTCAGTCTGAGCTCGTGTGGTTCCGACACCACCTGCGTGCCCTTGCTCCCTAACACCCACCTGTGCCTTGGGGGGCTGGAGAAATGGTCCTCGGCCGCCGCCTCTGAAGAGATGAGCCGGAAGCTGTCCTGCCTCTGGTGGAGCTGGTCTGTGTTGGTCTGCCTAAGTCTTGCTAGTGTGACTGTCCTGCCGATCCCGACAGCACTGCTGCTGGTTGAGCAGAATGGGCAACGAACTGTCCTAAGTATTTGACGTGAAAAGTGTAACAGCAGCAAGAACAGTGACTAACTCTTTCTTTGTTTTTCAGAAATATGTTACGGATGAGTGTTTCTTTTTTGAACGGTTGGAATCCAATAACTACAACACTTACCGGTCACGGAAATACTCCAGTTGGTATGTGGCGTTGAAGCGGACGGGGCAGTACAAACTCGGACCCAAGACGGGGCCTGGGCAGAAAGCCATCCTCTTCCTCCCCATGTCTGCTAGGAGCTGATCTTGAGGCACCGTCTGATCTCGTTTCATATGAAGGAAGAGGCCTATTTTAGAAATTCGTTAACGAGAAAAAAGAAAACGTGTACAGCTGTCTGCTCAGGTTGGGCAGCGGGTCAGATAACCTCCTCTCTAATGGTGAGCATTTAACCACGGCCTTAGTAAAGAAAAACAAGAATTCCTGAAAAAAGTATCGACTTCCACCTTTTATATAGCATTTGCCTTTATCCAGTGGCGCTTACTTAGGGCTACCGTCTGTTCCACACATTGGCTTCATTTGAAAACAGGCTTTGAAAATATACACACTTGCTGATTTTCTTCATGGAAATCATACACATTAGAAAATTAAAGTCAGATACTATTTAACCCCAAACGCTCACACTCTTATAACACGGCGCACGTTAACCTGCACGCACGATCTAGCCAAGTTTTTCACGCGTAACCATGGCTCAGTCCACTCCTGCCATCGTTTTGTAAGGGTCCGGCAGCGCCCGGTGGTAGAGCTTGTAGAACGAGCCGGTGTGCGCGGCCGGGAGCTGGGCCACCGTCAGGTCGACCCTGTCGAAGCCCTCCCTGTGCCCGTACAGCAGCAGCCGCGCGGCTCTGCTGGTGACGGGCGTGGCGTCCGCGGCCCTGGCCAGCTCGGCGAGGTCCATCCACTGGCAGCGCAGGCACTCGTGGGGGCACGGCTGGATGGCGAAGGAGCGAGGCTGCAGGCGGCAGATCAGGTACATGTCCGACTTCCCAAAGGCCCCGGGGTGGCGGTGCTGCTGCCGCACGCTCAGGAGGGACTTGAACTCGGATCTTACGCCCGTCTCTTCAAACACTTCGCGAACTGCTGTGTCTCCTGCGTGAAAGAAAGATGTACACATCAGTCAGGGTCACATTCTAGAAAACGATCGTCAAGGACTTTCTGTTAAAGGGCGTTATCGAAAGGTTCAGAAGCAAAACTTCAAGAAACGGGAGTTTTCACTATAAACTCTGCTTCCTGGACACCCTGAAATACCAAAGTGTTTTCTTACCACTGTGCACCTAAGAAGCTTCTGAAATAGTGAATATTTCTTTGGCTGCTACTGGGGGGCCTACCCACCTGTATGTTTTGGGGTCACATATTTTTAACTTCTTCCTGGTCTATTTCCCAAAAGGTGAAAACACAGGTTTGCAAAGCTGCGGTTACGACTCCTACTGTTTCTCCACCGTTCCTGTTCCTGACCCCCCACCAGCACTGCCTGAACTTACACGTTGCTGTTGAGAAACAGTGATCCACTCTCTTCCTTAGGAACCTGCAGGGCTGCAGGATGTAGGGATTCGGGCCTCTGCCCTGGGGACCTGGGGCGGGCCCGGGGCCGGGCAGGCCTCCGAGTCACGGAGAAGATGCCCTCGCAACCTTTCTGTTGTGCCCCTTCCGTTTATCCCACTTGGGAATTTGGGGCATTTCCTTTGTTTCCTGAGGTTCCAAAGAACTTAGATTCATTCCTCCACCACCAGATGCTACAGTCACTTCATCAGAGGTCTTCCAAAAACTTGCATTGTACAGAACTTCATAACACTGCAGGGTTTTCACATTCTAGAAGGGCGATTTTCTGATAATATACAAATTTAGAGCAGGAATTTTACTGCCATTAACATATTTTGGTGGCTGCTCTCTCTAACTACCCAGATGCACCTTCAGTGGGCTTCCTGCAGTCCTGTGATGCTCTCAGTGTCTCCCAAGTGCCAGCGAGAAGCCCTTCTCACCCTGTCTGCCAAGTGGTATTTGTATTTGCCTTCTTGGTAGTGTTACTGGGGAAGAACAGGCAGGGACAAGGAAGGCAAGGAGACCGTGTCTCCCATGTGTTCTGCCAGGGACTCTCTCCCCAGTCCCCGGGACACACCCTGGATTTTCCTGAGAACCAGCCCGGGAACCTGCACAGGCGGGGCAAGGGGCTCGGAAACGGAAGGCATTTGTCTGCCGGTTTGAGTTACATGCTGACTCCCCTGATAGTGGAGATTTGCCACAGATTAAAAAAGGAAAACCTTCCTTACTAAGAAAAATAATTTTTCGCCTGGCACAGAATTCGTATTTGTAATTAAATCTGTTAACGATTGTGGCATTAGTCTTAAATTTTACATCATTTGCAGGTCTCATGTAACTATTGTTTAAGTGTGTGTTCTCCAGACACTGAAAACTACACACGGGGGCCCAGTCTCGGTGTCAGTACCGCTGATCGCGAGCTGGGCCTTCGGCTCGCGGTCGGGGGCACAGGGCGGGGCCCTGCCCAGCTGTCACCTGGGCAGGTGGTCTGGTCAGTCTCACTGGCATCAGCAGGGCAGCAGCCAGGTGGAAACTGGGTGGGCAGACGAGTGCTTCTGTGTCCAGGGCAAGAGCCCTTCCACCTCGAGACGGGAATCTCCCCGAAGATTTCACCACGAGCCTGAACTTCTTATCTGGACAAAGTGCTTTACTCTGTTGCCTCTTCGCTATTTTAATGTACTGTACAGCTAAACGGAAATACCATTTACTGTGTTACAGGTCTGAAGAGCATAGGGAAAACCAAGAGGGTTATGTTTTTATTTTTGCTGGTTGAGAGAGATGTTTAAATATGTCGTAGCATTTGGTTTAGTTACAGGACAGTAATGAAATGGAGTTCATACTTGTTCTTTCTATTTTGTGATATTTAATGATAGGATGAGGTTGAAATCAGACACAGTCATAGGAAAAACTGTGCAGAGTGTGGGCCCTCCTGGTGTTTCCCTCTGACTGGTGCACGGTGAGCTCGGACCAGCGGCTGGTCCAGGCCTCGGGCAGAGCAGGAGCTTCTCCCTGGCAGGGGTCCTGGATTTTTTAGGAAGGCAACTTCTCCATTTTTAAAAAATTATATATTTTTTCTTTATTGATTTTAGAGAGGAAGGAAGAGGGGGAGAGAGACAGAAACATGGATGAGAGCGAACATCAACTGGCCGCCTCCTGCACGCCCCCCACTGAGGACTTGGCCCACAGCCTGGGCATGTGCCCTGACTGGGACTCGAACCAGCGACCTCTTGGTGCAGGGTCAATATTCAGCCACCCTGGCGAGGCAGCTTCTCCATCTTTAACCTTGTAGGTGCCTCTGTCCTCCTAGGGTAGGGTATCAAAGCCTGAGGACGGCACTCCGTGTTTTCTGTGCATTCTGGTAGACACTGTGGACGCCAGCGCCTCTACCCCGTGTCACCGGGTGAGGGACTGCAGGCAGACGTGCCCCAGTTAGCCAGTGTTTACTACTTAGCGCCAGTATGAACGTCTGCACAGTGGTGATTGAAGCACATCACATTCCTAAATGCGGGGTTAAAGAAAACAATTCTTGGACGATTTGGCTTCATCATTAAAACTATGTTACTGTATTGTGTTACGGAGAGAACTGTGCGCAGACAGACATTTCCAGCTGCTTTCCCGAAATTAGAGTTAGAATTTATCACGCTAAGCTAAGCTTTCATTTATATTGCGCCGAGAAAGAACGGTGAAGGCCAGATGCTGCTTTTTTCTTAATTCCATGTGGCTGAGGCGTAATCTGTGATCTCTGGGTAGGAGGGTGGTTGTGACAACCCAAAATGCTCTAAAACGTAGTGAATTCTGAACTAGTTGGACTTGAAGGGTTCTGGAGTACACCTAAACCTAACTATTTGGCTTGGAAATGTGCTTCTTCATTTACATTTAAGTCTAAGTATATCTGAAATTCAGAATATCCATAACAGTGAATTCAAATGAAACGAGTCAGTTCCTGTGAGAAGGCACGAGTCAGAAGAGGAGGCCACACACCTGTAGACTGCTTTCTGCCCCGGCGCAGGTGAGGCCATGCACAGAAGCTTCCCGAGCTAACGGGCTCCCACACGCCCCGTGAGGATGGTGGAAGATGACTGGGTGTTCAAGAATAAACCGCTTTCCCTTCCACCACCACAAATCCTCTCGTTTCAACAGAAGACCCAGCAGAACGGGGGTCAGGATCTACAAACCAGAATTTGCTATGGATTTATCTGAATGTAGTACATTTACTTACTGGTTGTTAGGAGTTGGCTGCATACTGTGTACAGGGCATTTATGTATACATGTTTTAAATAAAATATCTCAAGATAACTTAGGAAATTGTTCACATAAATGTTGTTAAAGAGAACAGGGACATGCACAGTGAAGAAAAAGTGTGCAGAAATAACTGATATCAATTGAGTTATCTATTGATTTACTGAGAGAGGGGCTGTATTTGACCAATGGTGTAAGGAGTAGGTAGGAATATTCAGTTTCTGTTCTATTTCCTATAAAATCAGTGACATTGAGAATCTTAGCTTGTTTCAGATTCCCTGTCTTCAGTGTGGAGCTCAGTGGATTGTTCTGAGCTCTCTCTCTCATGCGAGACTGTCTCCTATGAGCTCTTACACTATTTTGGCTTCTGACTATTCAAAATGAATAGTAGATAAAATTTTCAAAAAGAGGTTTGCATCACCACTGCTCTATAACTGACTCTATAAATAGTACTTGTTTCAAAGTTGACTTAAAAGTTACTATTCATCCTTGCGTGATGAAACGGTCAGGAATTGGTGTTTTGTCATAGTTAATTCCAATGGTTTTAGTCATATCCAAAACAGCCCTCGGTGCTCGGCTGACTGATGCACACCCAAAGCTCCCCACTCGCAAACAGATCCCTCGAGACTGAGCAGCCCCACGAGGAGGCCAGGTGGGCGTGTGCGCCCTACGGCATTTTATCCCAATGGAAGAGGGTCCAATGTTCCTTACAAGTTTGCTGCTAATTTTATATCAGCCCTGAAGTAACCTCTCTGAAACCTTCTGACTTAGTCTGAACCAGTAAGACAATTTTAAATCTTATTCTTAATCAAAGAGCAAACAAAAGTCAACGCATGCATGTCCTCAGCATTTTCAGGCCAACTGAAAACACGTAAGATACGCACCGATGTCTTCTCCAGGCTCCGACAGGCCTCCTGGGAACTTCCACATGTTTTTCAGCTGCAGGGAAAGTCAGAAATAGTCAACACAGCTTCTGTTCACTAACACGCACCGGGAGAGCCACGCTGCTCGCCCACACTGGTCAAGGTGGTTGGGCTTACTTTTTGTAATAATAGCATGTAAATTGTGTCCAGTTTCCTTCCTCTTTTCCTCCTTTTGGGGGGAAACTGGTAACTAATTAATTCTTTTCCCACTGTTTTCTTTGGGAAATAGAAATGGTTTTGTTTGGTTAATGTGACAGATTCTGTATGAATGAAACAGTGGAGGGAAACATCTACTGAATTTGTGTAATTTTAAAAATTTTGCTGCTAGTTAACTATTAACAATAGAGGAATCTTACAGATGCTGCTATAATTAAGTAGAAAGTACAGTATAAATGTAATCACTGAAGTATACTATTTTTAATTTCACATTTATTTTCTGTATTGTGTGTCTATTCAGATATATTAATCTTAAGGTTCTCTTGCTCTGTGTGTTAATGATTTCATGGGTAGTATGAATAAAACTGATTAGTTTACATTTGTGCGTTTTTTTGTATACCTCTTTTGGGGGCAGGAAGGGACGGGTGGGGGATCTGATCTTGGAATGGGGATGGACATGGGGAAACGGATTAAAATAATTATGCAATGGCATGGGACAAGATGCTTACGGCTGACGGGATCATTTTATTCCTGTTAGAGGTCTGTCATCCCTACCCCTCACCATGATCAAATGGGAATGAGAAATCAGGACTACTCATAAAGGCGCTGCAGCTTGGAGCCAGGACACCTTCCACTCTTCATTCATAAAACAAGTTTATGGGCCGTTGCTTGGTGTGCTGTGTGACCCTCTCATTTCCTGGACGGGAGCTTCTTAAGGAGTGTGTCACTTCCCAGCTGTGCGCGGCTGGAGCCCGGTGGCTCGGCTCCCAGGGCGTCCACAGAGCTCGGGCTGCCACCCTTCTGCGTCTGGCTCAGACCCGAGGTTCATTTTCAGGGCGTGTTATGTGTTACTTTATCAGCGCAGAAAGGTATCACCAAGTATACCTACGTTAACGTGGGTCTTTGGGGAACCGTTTGAAATGGGTCCAGAAGCTGTGGCTCTATGGAAACGGTGCAGTCTTTTGTCCGAGAGGATGTTGGACTTGACCGCCATACGTTCCATCTCTAACAGGAGATACAAACGCTTCCCCAAGACAGAAGTCAGCCTCCCAAGTCTGTACCTAGACTTGATGGCAAATGAACGGACACTGATTGTTACTGAATCTGGAGACGTGAGCTTGTGGGGAGGGGAACGTGCTAGATGTAAGGACTGAAAACAGCCCACACGCATTTGATTTTCACTATTTCATGAACCTTAGCTATGGAAAAATTAAGTGTATTTTTATGCCGGTGAGTAGTCTGTGATATTTTCTGGCACCATTGAACTTTAAAGAGCTTGTTTTGCAAACGCTTCCTCCTTCCCCCAGAAGCTTCGGTCGGCACTTCGTCTAAATGAGGCAGAGAAGCCTAGGTTAGGTGGTTTGAAAACCCGGTTAACGTAGATCTGATCGGTGGAGAGATGCGAGTACCTTCTTTTTTTAATATTAAAGAATACTTCCCATTAGCTGGGTTTAGCAACAAAGTTAATAATAATAAGTACTAGGTAATGCATATTGAATGTCCATTGTGTTTGAGACATTGCTAAATGTTTTTATGAGAATTACACACATTTAGGCTTGGCCAGGTGGCTCAGTTGATTAGAGCATTGTCCTAGTAAGCCAGGGTTGTGGGTTCAATCTCTGGTCAGGGCACACACACGAAGCAACCAATGAATACGGAAGTTGGTGAACAGCTCTGACTCTCCCTTCCTCTCTCTCGAATCAATAAGTAAAAAAATAAAGAATTACACACATTTAGCCCTGGCTGGTTTTTCTCAGTGGTTAGAGCGTCGGCCTGCGGTCCAGGGAGACCTGGGTTCGGTTCCCGCTAAGGGCACGTACCTCGGTTGCAGTTTGTCCCCGGCCCTGGTTGGTCGTGTGGGTGGCAGCCACTTGATGTGTCCCTTTCATGTCAATGTTTTTCTCTCCCCCTCCCACTCTATCTGAACAAAATATGGAAAAATGTCCTGGGGTGAGGATTAAAAAAATAATAAAAATAAAAATAAATAAAAATAAATAAAAGAATTACACACATTTAAACTTCACAGTAACCCACGAGGGACTCTTGTTCCCATTTTGGAAGTGATGAAACTGAGGGCATAAAAGGGTTTAATAACTTGCCTGAGGCGACACTGCAAGGGTGTTATAAACTCAGGGTTAAAGCCCAGGCTGTCAGATTCTATCCATCTTTTAAGAAAGATAAAAAGTTGATTGGCTGTTTCCTCACTAACCCCAACTGCTTTTTCATATACCTTTGCTCTTCTCCTCAGACCGCACTGGAACATTCTGTGTAACTCAAGCAGAACTTGTGTCTGAGACTTCCACCCCTCCAGGGCTTGTGAACATGAACTGAAATCTAGTTCGGTAGCAAACGTGTTTTTATATCTACCTGTCACTCACGAGTTCCCTACCTAGAACCTTCCGACTGGCATGAGATTTATTACTGTGCTAGTGAGGGACCACTATTCTGTCGTGCCAGTATATTGCTTCATGAGGGAAAATTTACGAAGGGGTAAGGATGGGTTTTGATTAATGCCTATTTGAGTTTATTATCTGTTTTCATTTTCACTGTTCCTTCCTATAAAAAAAAGACAAAACATCGCTATGATTCAAGTGTAAAATTCCATGATCCTTTTACCTCTGATCTCACAAAAGGAACTTTCCACTCACTTCTAGAAGAAATACTCTTCTTGTCTGGCCGGTGTGGCTCAGTGGATTGAGCACTGCCCCATGGACTGAGAGGTCCCGGTTTGATTCCTGGTCAGGGCACTGCCTGGGTTGCAGGCTCGATCCCCAGTAGGGGGCGTGCAGGAGGCAGCCAATTAATGTTTCTCTCTCACATCGATGTTTCTCTCTCTCTCTCGCTTCCTCTGTCTCTAAAAAATCAATGAGAACATATCGTTAAAAAAATACTAGAAAAAAAGAAATACTCTTCTCAAAGTGCTTGTGCTTGTTGGGTGCTACCCAGAGTTCACTCACACAATCCCTCCAAGCTGTGAGCTGGTGATGTCCAGTTCCTTAGATGAATCAGATTCTCACACACTACAAAAGGTAGAGTATCCTTTTAACTTAGGAAAATGTGTGATTTTAAACCATACAGTAGTTCCATCATTTCGGAATGGTGAATGTGATGACAAATGTTTCCTATACATTTGCCAATTATAAATCTGATGTTCTTGAGTGTGTATGTACGTGTGTAGGGGAGAATGGAAAAGAGTGTGGATGCAGAAGGGTGGTCCTATCTAATCTGAAACCCATCCCTCTGCACTGTTAGAAATTGCTAGCTCATGAAATAGGTATTTGGATATCAACAAAGGGTATTATTATTATTATTTTTTAAATCTCCACCTGAGGATATTTTTACATTTATCTTCAGACAGAGTGGGAGTAGGATGAGAGAGAGAAAGAAACATCGATGAGAGAGAGAGAGACACATCAATTGGTTACCACCTGCATGACCCCAACTGGGGCCGGGGACCAATCGCAACCGAGGTACGTGCCCTTGGCCGGAATTGAACCCAAGACTCCCTGGTCTGCAGGCCGACGCTCTAACTGCTGAGCCAAACCCACCAGGGCTCAACAAAGGGTATTATTTTTAATGCATTTTTCAGAGATACTAACAGAATGTAAGATATTTTACCTGTTAAAGCAATTTCAAGTTTAATAGCAGTTTCTTTTAAAGCTTGTCTTGAAGAGCAACTCGGTTTTAGGGTTTCTAGAATGGGTGAATAGGAATGATTTACTTTCTGATCCCTTTTCTCATTATTTTTCCAACCTCACAGACATCTTCTGTTTCCCTAAGCAGATGATTAGCTTCCGGAGCCTCCCTGGGCACGGCTGCTGGAATCCGAACCAGGAGTTCGTGTGAACCACCCTGAGAGACTACTACTTTCAGTGCCATCTCAGAACCTGCAGCAAGGGTGTGGCCCTGCTGGCCTCTGCCGTTTGGTTCTCTCGTATTATTTGACCTTCACGTTCTTCCTCCACTCCAGCTTGGGCAGGTGACAGAAGTGTGGTTATCTTTTATTTCCACTGTTCTAATGCTGCTACTCTCACTTTTCAAATTCAGAGCCACCATATTGAGATAGTACATCAGCTACAATATTATTGTTGTTGCCCATGAGATAGAAGCTGCAGTTTGTTCATTCATTCAACAAAAATGTACTGCATGCTAAGTGCAGGGCACACAGAAATTACTGCACAATACAGCAGGCCCATTCTTTCTCCCCGTACCACTGTCTTTTCCTTAACACCACTGCCTTACGTATTTATTCATTTGCTGATTACTCGTACCTAACCCCGCACTGAATGTAAGCTGCAGACATAGGAACTTTGCTTTGTTCATGAACGTTTGCCTAGTGTTGGAGCAGAGCTGACAGCGTGGTCAGTACAGAAGTCACGAATGCCCAGGGAGTGAGTGAACAGGTCCCTGCCTTAGATTTGGCTTTTTTAGCACTTAGTTTACAAGATCAGATCTTTTAAAATATGGTTTTGTTGATTTCAGAGAGGAAGGGAGAGGGAGAGAGAGAGAAACATCAATGAGAGAGAAACATCAATTGGCTGCCTCCTGTATGCCCCCCACTGGGGATGGAGCCAGCAACCTGGGCATGTGCCCTGACCTGTTATCGAACCGATGATCTCGGGGTGCATGGTATGACGTTCAACCAGCTGAGCTGTGTCAGATCCTGGTGCATGGGACGGTGCTCAGCCAACTGAGCTGTTAGATCTTTTATTTCTCAAAATCATGGGGCCAGGGGCAGGATTGTAACATATGTGCAGGAAAGGAGAAAGGAGACGTGTGAAGTATCATTTAGCTCTGTGTTTGAGTGTGTGCGTATGCTTGTGGGGAGGGTTGAACTTTCCTCTGCAGAAAACACTTGCCAGTAATGCCTGGGCAGTGGGAGGCGCTTAAGGGAAGAGAACTGGCTCAGATGTTGGGAAATAATGCCGATTAGTTTACGGTTAATAGCTGTCGTTTATGCTTAAATTCCACCTAACGCCAAAATACAGAAATTAAATATAGTTTAGTGCCACACTTTACATTTTTTACTACAACACTGAACTATACATGAATACTCAGTTTTTATATTTTGTTGCTCTCAGATGGATCTGTTTGTAACTTAAAAAACAAAATCAAAGCCCTAAGGAGGAGTCTCATTCCTACTCAATCTATACAGACTCCAGAGTCTCACGTCATCCGAATCTGTCTCCAGCCTCTGCCAGTTCCTCCTTAAAGCGCCCGTCACCGGCAGGTCTGCAAGTCAGCAGATGAGTCGGAGCCCGTGTGCTAATGTGGTGGTTCTCACCCGTGCACCTGCGTCCCCTGGAAGGCCGTGAACGTGAACTGCTGAGCAGCATCCCCAGAGTTTCGGATTCAGCAGGTCTGGGGCAGGGCCTGGGAACATGCATTTCTAGTAAGTTGACCCTATGGTTGTCGCTCAGCTCCAAACCCACCCTCCGTGCTCTGCCTAGTCGTGCTGAAGCTGGGACCCTGTTAACCAATTTCTGGTTCACCAGGAGACTCCCTTTTTAGGCTCCACCAACAGACTGCAAGGCAGGAGGAGGACGAAGGGGACTTACTGAGGGCCAGGCACAACATGCTTCATGTACTCAGTACGTTTCTGTTGATAAAGCTTAGTTTGAGTCAGAGATCTGCCTTAACTACAACTTCAAGTTACAGCTATGAGAATGCTTTTCGACAGCGCGCCTGAGAGACGTGTGGCACGGAGGGTGGGTTTCAGCTATCACGGCCAACAGGGTTTGACATTTAAAACATGTGATGGGGTGTTTGACTCTGTCCAGTATTTACTGAAGTCTCAGTATGAAAATAATTATTCTCTTTCACTGGTATACTACTGGGCGAGCATGAAAACATTGGTTCTCGTGAAAGCCTGCGCTGGTTCGGGTTGCCTAGACTTGCTACTTGGTGTACAGGGCTGCATACATCTGTTCCCAACCTCGCCCTCAGGTCATGTCTTTGACCGCCGCCTGCACACCTGGCCACAGTGAACTTCCTGCCGTTCATTCCACACCGTGTGCACTCAACTGAGTGCTTATTCCCACCCAGCCCCCCCAATCCACGTTGACTCCTATTCCCGATGTGGTGATGGTATTATAGGGGGGTCTCTGAGAGGTGGCTGGGTTATAAGAGTGGAGCCTCGGGAATGGGAGTAGTGCTCTTGTATGAGATCCCAGAGAGTCCCATGTCCCTTCCACCACGTGAGGACACAGTGAGGACACCCGTCTACGGACCCGGAAGTGGGACCTCACCAGACATCGAATCTGCCGGCACCTTGCTTGGCCTCCCAACACCATAACTGTGGGAAATGATGTTTGTTGTCTCGCCGCCCAGCCTGTGGGATTTTGTTATAGTGGCCTGAACAGACCAGGACACCAAGTCGGCTCCTTTGCAAACCCTGGCCCTCGTGCATGCAGTCCTAATTTTTTTCCCCAGTCTGCTTTTCTACCCTTTTTCCTGTTAAGCTCCTACTCATTCTTCAAGACCCAACTTAAATGTCACCTCTTCTGAGAATTCTTTAGGGGCCTTATAAGGCCAAGTAAACTGCTACCATCTGTTGTATGGCTGCTTTCCCAAACAGATACTGAGATGCAGGACACCAGGGTGCTGTCTTACTAATCTCTGCGAGTTCAGCACCTGGCTCAGAGTAGGAGCTTGATGAGTGTTGGATGAATGGAAGAATATCTTGACAGTCCGTTAGAAACAGAGTTGTCTTCCCAATTAAATACGACCCTTTATAATTTTCCTGTAGCCATAAAATAACAGTGAGCCATAGTGAGGTCACACCGACATTTTCAAGGCCTGCATAAGTGTTTCTGGATTAAATGAATACCCAAACAATCCATAACTGCTTAGAAATAACTTTTAAAATACCTCTCTGTCATTCCTCGAGCATATCAAAATTCCTACATTTAATTTTCTCCAGTGAGAACTGAACATTTAGAAAGCAGTTTATAAAGAGAAGCAACTTACTTTATTTCGATCTTGGACAACCAGTATTTTTCTAGTATTTTCATCAAATACAGCTCCTTTTGAGGGGGAAAAATAAAATATAATTGAAAAATATTAATTTCACTCATCTTAGACCCCCCCACTCTTATCTGAGGTCATCAAATCCCTACCCCCCCGAAGGCCTAGCTCACGGCCACCCCCACGAAGATCACTCTTTCCAGCAAGAAGCTGGCGGCTCGGGCACCCAGGATCCCTTCGCCAGCGATGGTTCTGGCACAGGCCGCCTATAGGATGATCATCTGCAAAGCTTCTCTAGATTGTCTGTTCCTGAGGACACACAGTTAAATAAACTAAACTTTCTATCCTTTTGTAGTATTAACTTAGTGTCCAAACAATTTTAAGTGCTTAAAAATATTTATCGAATTCATGAGTTGCCTTTTCCATTCTCATTTTAATTCCTCACGTCACTATGTATAGAGTATGGGTTGTGCCCCCTGATGACCCAAATCTCAAACATGTCGATGTTCAGTTCAAGGCCTCCCTGAAGCTGCCTACATTTGTTTACCATGGATGCACACAGCTTTATGACATATCAGTATATTGCTTTGGGACACTTATATGTTTTAATTTCTAGTCCCTTCCTTTTATTTATTCATCACACGCATTGCCCAACACAATAAGTATTTGGCTAGATGTTAGGACTCAAAAATAATTTTTTTAAAATTTCTCTTTGGGCAATCCTGGATTTTTTATGATACTTTAATGATTTGTACTAGGTTCCTTCAAATGCTATAATTTTTAAATATCTGTATTTAAATAATGTGGGAAGATACTGTTAGAAAGATATTTCCAATATTTCATCCATTCTTTCAATATTAATTGTTTCCATTTATTAACACAGATAGGTTCTACATTTAGTATAGGAATTGATCTCCTATTCTGTGTCAGTCATTTTTATGAATTATAGTGGTAAACAAAACAAAATTCCCTTTCCTCGTGGGGTTCACAATTTGTGTGTGTGCTTGTGTGTATAGGCAAGAGAGGATGGCAAATAAAAAATAAATTGTATAGAACATGAGAAGGTGATATATGCTATCTGGAGATAAAATATAGAAGGGGATAGGTATGTGTAACACAAGAAAGAGCAATTTTCTCTGAAACGAAAACATTTTAGTATTTTTAAGCAAAAAGGAAAACCACTAAGTGAGGCATAATTAACATCAATGTTGGCTTCTATTAGGAAAAGTAAACTATGATTTAATTGGACTTTATAAAGGAAAGAATGCCAAAGAAATGCCGAGGAAACCTACTCTTAAATTTTAATAATTTGTGATTACACAAATTGAACTTTTCCCTAATGAATTACATGAGCAAAAGATTCCAAAGACAAACTCAGGAGTGCTACGGCACAATGTGTGCTCCCCCTGCTGGCCACACCATAGAAGTCAACTCTAAAGAGATCGGAGATTAAAGGGAGGTTATTTAGTATATTATTCTCGTTAGGGACTGTGCTAAGTGCTCCATGTGCATCACCCCAGGTATTCCTCACTAATCCTGTGAGTGGCATCATTTTGACTGCCCACGTTCATCAGCTCTAAGACTGACCTCCAGTGGGCCTGGAGCCGGCAGGCATGATCACGGCAACACGGCCCCTTCACCACACCCCAGCTGTGTTCTCAGAGGGGAGCTGTTTCCACCTAACGATCGAGCCAACCACTCATTCAAGAAATAGTTACTGAGCAGTGACTTTATGCCTTTAACCCAAGGATACACTGGCGAACAAGAGAGAAATGATCTGCCTTCATGGGGTTTATACTCTTGTGGGGGAAAATTCAGCAAATGAAAAATTTTAGATTGTGATAAACTCTGTAACGGAAAAGAGCTGGATAAAGGGATGGAGGATGCCGGGCCTGGCATGTGGGAGGCTCCGTCTTGGATAGGAAGATCAGGAACTTTCCTGAGGTCTTTGGACAGAGACCTCAGCTCCGCGGAGGGAGATGAACCAAGGCCTGGGGAGGAGCATGCAGGATGAGGAGCCAGTGGGTTTAAAGGTTCTGAGGCGGACACCAGCAAGGGAGGAAAGATTTCCCTCTACCCACTTAGGTTCTGGGTCTAGGGCCTGTAAACCGAACTGACAGAAGACAGGTCAATGGAGAAAAATATAAATTTTATTTGATGTTACAGTAATATTTTTATGTGGCCTGGGGTAGGGGGTGGAGCACTTCATGGAAAGAAACTCCCAGAAAAGCAGGTAGACCATTTTAACAGAGTGACACATTGTGGAGATACGGTAAGACGAAAGGAAAGGGTTTGGACTAGGGGAGGTCATTGTGGGGAAGTGGCTAGGAAACATTTGGGGGGAACTAATGGGATCCAAGGGTGCGCTAGGAAGTTTGTACAGACTCCTCTTGGTGCCAACTCCCGTCTCCGGTAATGAGGACTCTTTCCTCTTCCTGGTGCAAGAAACCTCTGCCTGCTTTTAGGTAGGAAGGGAGCGAGCCCCCCACAGCTGCTGTTTCTCCGTTGTCTTCAGCTCAGATAATCAATACGCTGAAGAGGCATATTCTGGGTCCTGACCCCTCCACCAGTCACACCTACCTTCTGTTCTTTATAGCAACAAATGTCAACCATTTTCTCTTCACCTAAAAACTCTACCTTTCCACAGCAAATTCTTACACATTATCTTATCCCCGTCCCCAGTAGTCACCTCAGATCCTACTTATTCAAGATTTGTGTCAAGTTCCGGAACTCTCATTCCCTGAACTCCTGTGGTATATCTGAAGTCTAACACAAAATATAATACTTAGTTAGAGACAGGTCCTTTGTAGGACACTCTTTATGCACATAGTACTGATTCTGCAGTAATAACTGGACACTCTTAGTCTGTAACAATGAGTGGACAATCATCTGTGTGACTTTCTAATGAAGTGTGAGGCTGTCATCAAATTTTTCAAGTACATTAGAACCTTGGTTCTCAAACTTAATTCTTTCCAGAAGGCTGTTCAAGAAGCAGTTTGTTCGAAAACCGAATCATTTTTTCCCATTAGAAATAATGTAAATTGAATTAATGTGTTTCAGACCTCCAAATGATTCCCTGTTTTAACCTTTCTTATATATAGTACATGTCTAATGTGCTGTTTAATCTATAAACAAACACTTCTTTTCTTAATTTTATTGACCCACCCCCACCAGCCTTAAAGGAATCACTTTCAGCACTGGCTCCAGGGGTGTCTTTCAGGGAGTGAGCATGCGGCACCTTGGGCACCTCCACTTGTTCACAGATCACTGCCTCCGCAACGCTGTCACTGGCTGGCTGCCTTTCGTTTATCCAAATCAACCACAGTTTTTCTACCTCTTCAGTTGTCTGTGGTCATTGTTTCTTTCACATCCTTAGCAACATCAGCACTCTTCATGGCCTCTTTATGTTTTAAAATTGTGCTAACTGTCCATTTTGCCAGCAACAAAGGCAGACAGCAACACAGGTACACAACAGTATTCACAGCACAATTTCTTGAGCTGTGAACAAAGCAAGGTGTAGCTTTAAAGGGACTCACACTGGTGCGTTCTCTCCTCTGTGGCCGAGAGATGCTTTCTGTCATGCTGAGGTGTCAGCATGAAAGGGCTGTCAGGTCAAGCACTGAAGTTTTGTTCCACAACCCAGACACCTTTTCTGTAAACAACTTGGTCAAGAACCCAATTGTTTGAGATGGGAGACGTGGGAGAACCGAGGTTTGACTATCGTCATGAAATAGAGTTGAATGGGAAGTTTCCGAGTGCCTGTACTTGAGACCATGGACGGAGAGAACATTAGACATCCTTGAATAACGCCTTTAAATGAATTCAAAGGTGCAAGCTACCTTTAAAACTCTTGTAAATTGTATAAAGGCAAATAAAATTGTTATTGATTAAATTATTAATATGTAATACTGTTTCCATTTATTTATTTATTTATTTTTTATTTTTTTCCTCATCCGAGGACATTTTTTCCATCTTTTGTACAGACAGAGTGGGAGGGAGAGAGAGGAAGAGAGAGAGAGGGAAACATCGATGTGAAAGGGACACATCGAGTGGCTGCCACCTGCACGACCCAACCAGGGCCGGGGACAAACTGCAACCGAGGTACGTGCCCTTAGCGGGAACCGAACCCGGGTCTCTCCAGACCGCAGGCGGACGCTCTAACCGCTGAGCCAAACCGGCCAGGGCTGTTTCCATTTATTTTAAGTTGTAAGGATTCTTTACTAGTTTAGTTTTTCAGGAAATCTAGGAATGTTCTTAACACTGTTTCCCAAAGAGGACAGCAGCCGCAGCAGCAGAGAACTTATTAGAAATGCAAATTCCCAGGCCCTACCCAGACACTCTGAATCAAACTCTTGGGGTCTGGCCAGCAGCTGTTTAACAAGCATTCTAGGTGATTTTGATGAACGCAATTTGAGGACCCGTCTTAACCTAAACCAAGCCTTCTCTCGAGACTATGTCTCTGAAGCTAATCAGTAACTTCAAAGTTCTGTATTTAAATTGTTATTTTAAACCCCTGTTTGGCACAATACCTCAATGTAAATGTCTTTAAGAAGTAATGTTTAAACCATTAAAAAGCTGGTTTGTTTTATCTTCAGTTCCACCTCAGTTATCTTCTACAAATTCACAGCAGTACAACGTAATATGTTTCACCATAATGAATTTATCCCCCGGTCCCAATTCAGTGTTACTATTTTGAGTAGTGAAGTTCAAATGTCTGTGTGAAACATGTTCAAACACATCCTTCGGAAAACTGAGCGCAGACTCGTTCTGCTGACTCAGGGGCAGACGTCCTCCATTCGAAGCACTAGCACGAGTCCCACGGATAATCATTTCATCACATTTTCCCATGAGAGTAAACCATCGCGCAGCTGTAAGAAGAAATAAACTGGGTGCACCTCTAAAAAGTGAATGCTGACTATGGTGAGTTAGAAACGTACCTGCAACTCCCACCTGATGTGTCGCATATCCTGGGAGTCTGCTGGGCCCCGGTCCCAGCCACAGGGTCAGCGTGGACGAGTCCGCTTCTGCGTGGTGAAAGCAGAAGCCCAGCGCCGCGGCCGGCGCGATGAACCGGCTCTGCAGGATGGGGACGTGCAGCCAGGCCGCCACTCTGCCTTCTGATCGCCAGCGCTGGATCGCAGCTGAAATGTGAAGATAACATAGTGTCAGTGGTTGCCAGTGAGGAGCAGAATAAATTCAAACTCATTTCAGGGTGTCACCTTCTCCAGGAAGGCATTTTAAGCATCCACTTTCCTTACTACTAAGTTATGTGAGGTGGGGGATCCCAAAATATCCTGGTCACACCAGCAGCACGGGAACTACCGTGTTTATTAACACGATCACCCTGTTTATGGGATTTTCCCACCAGGCTGAATTCCTTGTGAATAGTCAGTACAGTAATGACCTTTATATTCATATCACCAGACACAATGCTTGGCACAGGATTGGTGATCAGTAGTTATAGAATGAACAAACCTACTTACTTCAGCAAAATCAAATGCCATTTAAATGTTCCTTTTAACATCTACATTTTAATCTTTATAAATGAGGATCGTGGGCTTCTATTTACTCTTTAAGAGTTCTGTCATTTTTTTATGAAGAAATGTTCAACATCACTAATCATCAGAGAGAGGCAAATTAAAACAACAATGAGGTATCACCTCACACATGTCAGAATGGCTGCCATCAACAAATCATTAAACAGCAAGTGTTGGCGAGGGTGTGAAGAGGGGACTCTAGTACACTGCTGGTGGGAATGCAGACTGGTGCAGCCGCTATGGAAAACAATATGGTGTTACCTCAAAAAATTAAAAATTGAACTTCCATTTGACCCAGTGATCCCACTTTTAGGAATATACCCTAAGAAGCCTGAAACACCAATCAGAAAGAATATATGTACCCCCATGTTTGTAGCAGCACTATTTACAATAGCTAAGATCTGGAAACAGCCCAAATGTCCACCAGTAGACGAGTGGATAAAAAGCTATGGTACATATACACAATGGAGTACTATGCAGCCGTAAGAAAGAAAGATCTCTTATCCTTTGAGACAACGTGGAAGGACCTGGAAAGTATTATCCTAAGCAAAACAAGCCAAGCAGAGAAAGACAAGTATCATATGATCTCACTTATTTGTGGATTATAATGAACATAACAGTCTGAGGAATGGGGCAGTCCCAGAGACGTGGAAGTGGGGTACAGACTGACAACCCCTAGAAGAGGGGGTGGTGGGGGAGAGAGAAACCACAGAACTTATATGCATGTGTGCATGAACAATGGACATGGACAACAAAGCTGAGGACAGGGCAGGGAGGGCGGGGAGGGGGGAATCAGTGGGGGAAAAAGGAGAAACATCTGTAACAAAAATAAATTAATAAAAAAAGTTCTGTCATTTCTTTTCTTGATTTATAAATTTCAAGGTGGTTAAAACAACTTTGTGTTTAAATAAAACAGGGAAGCTCCACCTGTGTAGCTCAATGGATTGAACACCATCCCGTGGCCTGAGAGGTTCTGGTTTGGCCTCAATCATCGGCAGGGTGTGTGGAGGAGGCAGCTGATCACACTGATGTTTCTACTCTCCCCTCTCTCTAAAGAGTAAATAAATAAAATATGCAAGTTCTAGAAAATTCTGAAAAGTCAGCAAGGCTAGCACAGTGACAGACAGGGTGCCTGTGATCCTCAGATTATTTCGGGTTTTCTTTATAGGCAATGCCATTCCATTTTGTTTGGCTCAATAACAACAGAACCAGCAGTAGCTCTTGGAGGCAGTTCAGTGCAGTAAGAACAGATTCTAGAGTCCGGAGAAGTTAGAATCTCTGTGCCTCAATACCATCATCTTGAAAATGAGGATAATGGTTTCCACCTCTCAGGGTTGTTATGAAGATTAAGTGAATTAATATTTGTCAAGTTCTTAAAACAGTGTCTAGCATTTAAGGCATACACAACAGAATTTATTTTAAAAATAAAATGTATATGGTACCTCTGAGTTTATAAATAAGTGTCATATACTTTATCTTTGATCACCACATCTATCCAGTAAAGTAATTTGGGCTGGCATTATTCACATAAACAACCTAAGAGACAGATATCTTCATGGTGAAATGCCTAAATGCCTGGTGAAGCATGTGGCAGAACCTAAACTTTAAACTTGGATGTATGACTCCAAACCCCAGCCCCCTTTCTGCTTTGCCTTGCGGAGGTCACCTGAGCTTTGATTACCTGTTTGGTCACCGACAAGTGACAAGTGGGTGTAGTAAGTACCTGTATCTGGCCACATGCATGTACATCTTTTAGAGGATGAACGCTGATTTGACTCCTACTGGTGATATTGTTGGAGTCAGCAATTATTCACAAGGAGAGAAAATGAGAAGCAGTTTGGGAATGATTAAAGAAAAAAATAGCATTTGAGATCTTGCTCCCTGACATAGTCAGTTTGGCTCAAATAAACTTTTTTTAACTGTTCTGTTGGAACTTTAATTTTTTTTCTTTATTGATTTTTAGAGACAGAGGAAGGGAGAGGGAGAAAGAGAAACATCAATGACAGAGAACATAGATTGGCCTGCTCCTACATGCCCCCCACTGGGGATGTGGCCCACAAACTGGGCACGTACCCTGACCTGAATCCAGCAGGGGACCTCTTGGTGCATGGGTCCCCGCTCAACCACTGAGCCACACGGGCAGGGCTCATATAAACCCTTACAGAAATTCTTAAAAAACAAAAACAAAACCATCTCTAATGATATTCACATAGATGCTCACTTGCCAAATTGCTCAATAGCACTGAGATTACTGGAAGCCCCAGTTAGTGTGATCTTTCTGGCTGCATTTCCAGGTTCTGCCTCAATACGGAGCCTCAGGGGCAGTTTGGAAAACAGGCTGCTCCCCCAAATCAAGGCTTCTCTCCAAGCGAAGACTCCTCCATCCAAACTTTCCTTCTTATCACTGGACTTAAGGTTCAGAGAGTGCGGAGTTTCTCCCTGAAGACAAGCCACCCACGCCCTCCCTGATTAATTATAAAAGCCTTGTCCTCTGTTAAGTACAAGCAAACTCTAGTTCTTGAAGCCAAGGCACCTGATCCGATTTGGGTGCAAATATGACCACTGGGAACCTCTGGTCCACTCACTGTCCGCCACGTACATGAGAAGGACTGGGCAACGTGCCCAGCAGAACCAAGGCTGGGTAAGTGACGGGGAATAATAAGTGATCCAGACCAAGTCTCCTTTGGGCGACAGCGTGCTAAGCACTTCATGTTCTTTATCCAACTCAACCCTCGGGGACTCCGTGCGCTGCTCTGACCCGGTCTCACCCAAGAGGAAATGGTAGTTTACAGAAGCTGCCCAGGGTGAAGGTCACACGCTAGAGGGTGGACCAGGAACTAAGGCTGCCGATCCCAGAGTCTGGCATCGTCTCCATTTCCCCGAACCGCCTCGGAGACCTCCCAGCAAAGGGCCAGAAAACCAGGGGGCGGCGGGGGCGATCACGCGCGCCCTCCGGGCTCAGCGCCCGACAGGCGCAGGCGTGGGGGTCGCGGTTACTTCGCTGGCAGCCGGGAAGCCGGGGGCCCTCCGCCCAGGCACTTGCCCTGCAGGCCCCTCTGGAAGGCGGCGGCGTCCAGGCGGTCCAGCGCGCCCAGCCGCACGGAGACGCCTCCGAACCTGTCCACCTCGCCCTGCAGCCAGCTGGCTCCGGCGGGAGAATCCCGTGCGCCACCCGGGCCGCCCGAGGCCCCGCGGGACCCGGCCGAGAGCCTGGCACCGCGGACCCAGGGCAGAACCGCGCGCAGGTAGCCCCGACTCAGCAGAGGCGACATCCCGGAGCCGGCCCACGCTGTCCGCTGGCTCGGCCCCCAAATCGCCCCGCCTCTGCGCTCCGGGAGGGAGGCGCTACCGTAAACCCGAGAAGAGCGCCGCACAGTCGAACCAGAGTTGAGCTGGGTTTACCATGTACAGCGCTATACCCAGGAGACCTCGAAGCCCTGTCCACCAGCTCCTCTCAGGAGTGTGCCTGGATCCAGAAAACCGGGGAGAAACGTTCCCATCACGATCTCTCCCGCCCCCCCATAGTTTAATTCAACGCGCTGTGTTCGGGGAAGGCGAACGGAGAGCCGAGAAAGTCCCCTCACTCAGGAATGCACACTCTACAGGGCGCGTCCACCCACCTAATCCGTCTTCCTTGGAGAACAACGTCTTCGACCACTTCGAAGACTAGGTTCTGAAGAGGGTCGGTCCGCCCCCCGCCCCTCGATGGCGCTTCACTCTGGAAATTACGGCGTGGGGGCGGGGCCTCGCTGACTTCTGCCCCGGAAGTTTTTCCCCGTAGTAAAGCGCGCACGTTGAGCCGGCTTTGCTGCTTCAACTTCCAGGCTGCCCGCGGATCATGTCGTCCAAGAAGAACAGAAAACAGCCCAACCGGAGCGCCGACAGGGGTTCGCCCTCGCCCTCGCCCTCCGCGGCCCGCTCTCCTGCGGGGGCCTCGGCGGCTCCTGCCGAAGCCGGCTTCGCGGCGGCGACCGGGACTCTGGCGGTGATCAACTTCTTAGAGAAGGGTGAGAGCGGGGGGAGGGCGGCCGGAGGCCGAGGGGCGCACCCGAGGGGACGCAGACCGGCGGCCGGCCCGGAGGCGCGGCGCTGTGAAGGGCGGGCGCGGCCGGGCGCGAGCCCCGTCCCCGTGCCCACCCCAAGGGCCCCTTTTGGTAAACGGCCCCGGATTGCAGGCTGCCCCGGGGGCCGCTTTGCCGCCGTAGGATGGACGACGTCTTCAGCGGCGAAATCGCCTCCCTAGCGAGCGCCGGGCCGACACGCCGAGCGGCCCAGCCGGGTGCGGGCCGGGTCTCCCGGGGGCGGAGGGGGGCGGCTCGCCTTCACGCCCAGCCCCCGCGGACGGCCCGGGACGCGGGCGCGGGGGTCGTGCCCGTCCTGCAGCGTCTCCGCCGCGCGCGGGAGCCCAGCCGGCCCGCGGTCTCCGCCGCCGGGAGCGGGGAGGACGGGTTTGGCCGGGACGTCAGGGATCGGCCCAGCTCGGAGCAGTGGGTCCGAGCGAGCCGGCGGCGGCTGTGTGCCCGCCCCGCGGGCCCTGAGGGCAGCCCTCGAGCGCAGAGGGCGCCCCGTCCTGTCCCGGTCCGCCGGCGTCGAACGCTCTGCCCCGCGCCGGTGCCCGCCGCCCCGCGCCGAGTGCCCGAGCTGCCCCCGCGGGCCGCCGCCGCCCGGCGCTTCCTGCACCTGCGAGCGCTGGGCCGCCCCTGACCCTCGGCCCCTGACCCTCGGCCCCTGACCCTCGGCCCCTGACCCTCGGCCCCTGACCCTCGGCGGGCTGCTCAGTCTCCCCGCTTCCCAGGCCCGGCCTCCAGCCGGGGAGGCCCTCGCCCGCGGGCCGGGTGGCTCGCTGGTTGCAGCGTCGTCCCGCCGAAAGGTTGCGGGTTCCATTTCCGGGCGCGGTGCCTGCGGGAGGCAACCCCTCTCGTTCAGTCTCCAAGTGTGTCCGGTGAGGTTCCTCTGTTCTCAGTCCTAAAGCCCTGGTCGCCCTAACTCTCCCTTTGGCGGGTCGGTGCTGCCCAGTTGCCGCCTGTGCCCTCACCCTTCTCAGGTCTGTGTGCCCAGCTCCCCCCCTTCTCAGTCCTGACGCGCCTGTCCTCCGCCGCAGGCCCAGGCACGCCTTACTGAAATTCGGCAGCTCACCCAAAACATATTTTTTACCCATCTGACAAAAAAAAAAAGGTATACTTTTGATTCATTCACACCAGACGGTTATAGTTGTGTTGGCTGTTGTCATTTTTTATTTGGCAGTCCAAGGGAAAAGAGGTCAGTGCCGCTGACTAAATAGCCCGGTATTGCGTGTTTTAAAAGGTCTGGAAGCACACCGGTGGAAAATCGCTGCTGTAGACCCAAGCTTCTCCAACTCTCTAGGGAAAGTTTTAAAATTTAAGATGTGCCACAGATAAGCGCTGTTTTAAACACAATAAAAATGAGTTGCTAGCCCTGGCCCACCGTTCTCAGTGGTGGAAGCTTCTGCCTGGCTGGTGGGTGCAGGTGGGGTCGTTCCCCATAGAGGGCACATACCTGGGCCACAGGTTCCGTCCGCCCGATACACACACACACACACACACACACACACACACCACACACACGCGCGCGCCAGAGGCAACCAATAGATGTGTCTCATGGAAGTTATCCTCTGGTGAGGAGGATTAAACAAACAAAAAAGTTACTAGAAAAATAAGTTAAAAAATGGAAATTTTTCTATTTAACAGATGTAAAATTATAAAGTTGCGATAAAAGCTTCTAAACGTTTATTCTCATTTTCTGTACTAAACCAGGAACCAGAAGCAAATACTTTACCTACCACACTTTGAATAGCACTGGACTATATTTCATCTCTTGGATTTTTCAAAGGCACTTCAAGACTGACCTCAAACTCATATTTCCTGCAACAAAACAAACACTAAGCCTGTTCAATTTTTGCCATTTGCAAACTTCAGAAACCTAGGAGTCATGTATGACACCTTTCTCATATCTTCATATTCAGTCCACTACCAAATCCTGCTTATCACCTTGATATTTCCCACATTGCTGTTCTCCACTGTTCCCACTGCATCTGTTATAGGCTTGAAAACATTTGTTTGAAAAATCACACAAGTAGAAGAAGTAATTTGTAGAAGAAATGGGCTTAGGAAACAAGTTACAGAGGTAAAGGAAGGGCCCTCGGAGCCTGGGAGTGGGGAAGGTAATGGTCAGTGTCGGGGAGACGGGGGGTAAGGGAAAGGGAGAGGAAAAGAAAGACTTGGGCATGCTCCTGGGATTGAGGTGCTGGGCCTTCAGTCCTAAGGGTTTTAAGGGTGGAGATTTTAGGGGAGGTCCCAGGGCATGATCCTAACAACATGTATCAGCTTTCCAGGTGTGTCCTTTCAGGGTCTAGGTCTCCTCTTACTGATTGGTCATTGCCAAGGCAGAGGGTCATTATCCAATGCACTTGGTCCTGAGGTCAGCCTTGGCATTGCTTGTCTGGTTTTGTTGCTTTTGTGGGTCTGGAGCTAAAATACATCTGAGGCCTAAATGTTGTATCTCGGGAGGAAAGGTCAGGGGGTCCAAACTGCATGACAAAGCCATATGCTAAGGGAGGAAAGGTCGCCCAGGGTGGAAGGCTTCATACATAATTGTTCTTTGCTAGGCACCTGGGTCTTTCTACCCTGGTGACCTCTGTACATAGCCCAGCATCTTTGCTCTGTTCATGTCTAACTGCCTACCACACTGCCGCCATAATCCCTGACACTGTCTTCTCACACTTGTACTGCTTACTAAACTAGCCCTTCCATTTACTTCCTGCTGTGCAGTGGGAATGGTTGTTTTAAATGAAGATTCTGTCAAGATCCCTCTTTTCTCACTGGTCTGCAGTTTCTGTTAGAATAAAGATCAGCAGTTTGATATCCCCTGCTGCCCCGGGTGGTCTTGACCTTCTTCACTTGGCTTGTCTCCACCACTCTCTGCCTGACCTCTTCTTACCTCTGATGTACAGTGCTCGCTTCTGCCCGTCACCCCTGGACATGCTGTTCTCTTTGCTCAGAATTATCTTTTTTTCCTCTTCATTTACTTAATTCCTACTCTTCAAATCTGAATTGAAGCATTACTTCCTTGGAGAAGCTTTTTCTTATTCCAAATTAAATCAGATCCCACATTTAAGACTTTCTAGCACTTTGCGACATTTTTTTATTGCATTAATCTTAGTTTATAATTATGCAATTATTCAGTGATTTTGTTTTTTAATCCTTACCCGAGGATACATATATATATATATATATTTGGTTTTGAGAGAGAGAGGAAAGAAGAGAGAGAGTAATGTCAATGTGAGAGAAACATCCATTGATTGTCTCTCAAATGTGCCCCAACCTGGGATCAAACCTGCAATCTAGGTATGTGCCCTGACTGGGAATCAAACCTGAAGCCTCTTGGTGCATGGAACGACCCCCCAACCAATTGAGCCACCTGGCCAGGGCTCAGTGATTGTTTAATAACTCTGTTATCCTATTAAATTATAAGGTACGTGAAGCCAAAGACTGTCTACTTCTGTATTCCCAGTGTCTAGTGTAGCTAGTCTGCCACATAGTAAAAATTTGCTGAGTGACCGAATGAAGCGTGGATGGTTGTGTGAAATTACCTTTACCATCTCATTAGTTAATCTGTCACATAAGTGCTTAAGAAGTGTGAAGTTAGTTACTGGGCACAGTGGATGTCAAGATATATTTTTAAAGTATTTCAGGACTGAGGACTGGTGGTAGGAGTTGTGTGGAGGAGATTTATTTGTTGTAAGCGGAGGATACAAGGGAGATGTATTGGGAAATGGGGCAAGGCATGGTATTCGAACATGATCTCCATGGGTGATAGGGAGGAAGTGGCACAGTGTTTCCAGAAGCCTGTGGTTTGTCAAATCCTGGTGCATGGTGAATGTGCAGGATAGGATGGAGGGAAGAGAAGAAACCTAGACTCTTGTTGAGGACTGATATACCTGTGAGGTAACCGTCACAAGTGAATCATTGAAGTTCAGGAAGAAAGAAGTGGTAGAAACTGAACATTATGAGGTCATCCAACAGGACACTTTGCTATTACCGATAGGTAAACTATGTAAGAGACCTGATGCTCATAGGAAAGTTGAATTTCTGTTCAGCCTTTCATTTTATGAAATATGCTCATTTTATTTTATACTCAGTATTGTTAATCATAGCCCTGTAAAATGCTTTGCTTTTCTAGATTTGTTCATCTGATGACTGGAGGAGAATAAATGTGTTGGCAAGTGATTTTGTGGCAGAGAGTAGTAATGTAAATCAGACATACCTCTTGGTTTGCTTTCATTAACTTAATTACAAGAGCTGTTTAAAAAAATTATTTTCTTTATTGATTTTAGAGAAAGAGGAAGGGAAAGGGAGAGAGAAACATCGATGAGAGAGAACATAGATTGGCTGCCTCCTGCATGCCCCCCACTGGGGATCGGGCCCATAACCTGGGCATGTGCCCTGACCAGTAATTCAGCTGGTGACCTTTTGGTGCATGGATTGAGTCTCAACCACTGAGCCACATCGGCCAGGCAGTTTTTCTAATTATTAAGGAACACTAATACTAGTTAGAGCTCTATGATTATGGTATATGTCTATAATCTTATAATAAAGTTTGTGGTAAGTTAAAATTTTATGAAGTATTTTATGGATTTTTGCTGAAAAGAAAAATACTGCCCTGGCTGCTTTGGCTCAGCGGTAGAGCGTTGGCCCATGGACCAGTGAGTCAAGGGTTCAATTCTGGTCAAGGGCACATACCTCGGTTGTGGTTTGTCCCCAGCCCTGGTCGGGTTGTGCAGGAGGCAACCAGTCAGTGTGTCTGCCTCACATCGTTTCTCTCGCTCTCTTGTTTATATTCCTCACCTGAGGATACTTTTCCATTTATGATCAGATAGAGTGAGAGGGGGAGAGAGAGAGAGAGAGAGACAGAGACAGAGACAGAGACAGAGACAGAGACAGACAGAGACAGACAGAGAGAAACATCGATGTGATAGAGCCACATCAACTGGTTGCCTCCTGCGTGACCCGACCAGGGCCAGGACAAACTGCAACTGAGGTATGAGGTACGTGCCCTTGACTGGAACCAAACCCTTGACTCATTTGTCTGTGGGCTGATGCTCTTAACTGCTGAGCCAAACCAGCCAGGGCTCTCTCTCTCTCTCCAACTCCCTCCCTTCCTTCCTCCCTCCCACTCTATCTGAAGATAAATAGAAAAATATCCTCAGGTGAGGATTTTTAAAAAAAGGAAAATACTGTGTATTCATCTACTACATTCATTCATTTCACAGATATTTATTATGCAGTGGCTATATTTGATGCTCTGCTAGGCATTGGTGACACAAAGATAAATATGACCTAATTCCTGCCCCAAAGTGGCATATAGTTTGGGAGAAAGTCAGACTGTAAAACAAATGAATATTATGATGCCAAGTGTCGGTATCTGGCAGCATGAGGTGCTGGGAGAATCAGAAGAGGGACAGCTAACCACGGGTGGAGCTTGAGCTAAGTGGGGAGTGGGGGCAATGTTAGCACATCATTTTCAGAAGCATTGCCAACTGGGCTAAATTCTGGGCCCCTTCTTTGGCCAAAAGTTGAAATCACTAATGGTCATTTCAGTGTAAGAGTATTCGCCCAGCGGGTTACTCTCTTCTGCATGCATATATGATTGCTATTACATGGGTTGGAAGTGGAAACGGGTCGGAAGTGGAAATGTGACTTAATCCTCTAGAGCCAGATGATGGACCAGCTCCCCAGTTCAAGCCTTTGCATACCAGTAACTGACTCAACTTAGAATCTGTAATACAGAAAGGAAAGATCAGAAACTCCCTGTTGGAAGTAATGTTCAGTTCTTCATGAAATTTAAGATTTTTTAAAAACTACGATTTTATTGATTTTAGAGAGAGAGAGAGAAACATCGATGGATCGGCTGCCTCCACCAGTGCTCCCTGCTGGGAGATCCAGCACGAAACTCTGGCACGTGCCCTGACTCGGAATGGAACCTGCAGCCTCTTGGTACATGGGATGATGCTCAACCCCTTGAGTGGCACTGGCCAGGGCAAGATTTTTGTAAATAATGAAAACTAATACCTACTCCATAAAACATCCTTTTTAAAGTTAGCATTTATACTGTCCGTGGATCCTAAAAAGATTTGGTTTTAAGTCTGTTTATTAAAGTAAAAAGAGTCAAAACAGTGGTTTCTGCAGGGATCAGTAAGTGAATTCATGTGATTATGTGCATAGAGGATTTTTATTTCCTCCAAAAGAAAGCATGCCTTCACTTCAATTACAAAATAGTACAAAAATCATTTTCTTTTGCTTCTTGGTAGATGACAAAGTTCCTAAAAAGTTCCAGAATTCCCTTGTTCAACTTGGACTTGGCACCATGAAGTCTGCAAATATATGTATAGGTCGACCAGTGCTGCTTACCAGTTTACATGGAAAACAAGAGGTAAGAGTCCTTGTCATTTCCTTAGTTGGAAAAGATTTGAGAGGTTTTTGTTTGTAGTTTTCAACACAAGCAGGAAAAAAATGGAAACTATATTTTAAAGACCCTCGCACCGATGTGAGCTTTCCCTCCTTGGTGTCGATGAAGGTGGGAATACAGGCGCTAAATGTCATGATGCAGAGAGAGGCCTTTCCTCGGGAGGCAGTGAGACATGCCCTGTCGTCCTCATTTTTCCCCGTCTACTTTTCTCTACAGAAATACAGTTTTGGGGTATGAAGGTTATCTCCTTTTTATACAAATGTTTGATTATCCGCCCTGGTTTTAGCTGTGTTTCTTTTTGCTGCCAGTTTTTGGCAGCTTGGCTTCCTCTCTGCTGGCCCCGCCTCCGCCTCTGCCATAGCTTTTCTGCTTCTTCACTCTGTCGCAGCCTCTGGGGCCTCTGGGAGGGCTTTGAGCTCCCTTATCTGCTGATGTCACGCCTCCCATTCTTGTCATTGTTCTGGGCTTATACTTTAAAACCCTTGACTTGTGTCTTGTGGAAGAGAAGACACTACATGTATGAGCTCAGCCCACTCTATGGAGCTTAGCATTTGTCTCATGAGGTCCAGGTTCCCGTGGAACTCTGCTGTTGGGCCCCTCACTATTTCCTGGATGTTGTCTATGCTCCAGGCTGGGTACCTGACAGTCAGCTTGCCTTCGGAGTTTTATCTCATTTTCTTCTCCTACCTTTGTCTCTTTTCCTAACCCCATCTCTCAGATCTTCCACTGTTTTCACTGGGGGGTTATTCCTAATCTTTACCAAAAATGTAATACTTATAAAACTTTTTTGTAACTTGAGTCAGATTTATAACACCTGTCAGGACTGGCACATCTTTTTGATTTTCTGTTTTATAAATTACTGTTATTCTGTGAATGTTTGTTTATTTTCTCTTGCGGGCAGGTCTACACAGCCTGGCCCGTATCAGGATTTCCTGGAGGCAAGGTCGGCCTGAGTGAAATAGCGCAGAAGAATGTGGGTGTCCGAGTTGGTGATGCCATCCATGTGGAGCCTCTTTTGGGTGCTGAGCTGCAGGCTGAGGAGATGGATGTGGCACTCAGGTTTGGCTCTTTTCTTTGGTGACTGAATCAGCACTGTCCAGGAGAAATATGCTGAGAGTCACAAATGTGAACCACATATGGAATTTTGCATTTTCTAGCAACCACATTTAGAAAGTAAAGAGAAACACGTGAAATTAATTGTAATTACATATTTTATTTAACCAGTATGTGTGAAATCTTACTTTAACTTGTAACTATACAAAACTATTAATAAGATTTTTTGTTCTGGTTTTCAAACGAAGTCTTCAAATCCTGTGTGTATGTTACAGTCACAGCACACCTCAGTTTGGACTGGTCATAGGTGAGTGGCTAGTGGCCTGCTGTGTTAGCACAGTGAGACGTGTGCTGTGTGACTTAGGGACTGGGGCTCTCGAGTTCCTGTGATTAGAGTGCCCTGACCCTGTAGGGGAGGGAATTATTACTGAGGGGTGTTTAACCATGTTTCTTATCTTGGTCTGCATTGTACTTAGGGCTTCTTGTCTTTTTTACAGCTGTAAAGAAGGGAGTAAGTGACTGTGAGTAGGCAAGAAACAAGTTTTAATTAAGACTGCTCAAGCAGAGACCTGCCTGTGAACTTTACCTCGTTGATTATTCAGTCTCGTGAACAGTTACTTCTGTGAGTCTGAATAGCCCTCACGAGAGGCGAGCTGTAGACGCGGCCAATCAGCGTGGTTCCAGTGGATCTCCCTCTTCCTGGGGATTCTCTATCAGTAGTGTTTTCACTGAGTTTGCATACAAAAATCTTAGCAAAACTTGTTTTAAAAAACATCTTTTGATATTTTAATATCACCCTAGTAACAGTTTTAGGGGGGGGGGTGTTTATATTACTGTAAGAATCAGGACATTTTTCAATCTAGCTCGATTTTAAAATATTTTTATCTTTTTTTTCCTCCTTTTGTAGGTACCAACATTGAGCTTTGGCATATTCTTTCCTTTAAAAAACAGGAAAATGTTTTCAGAGCATTTAGCAAACAATTAACAAAAATATTTCACCTGAGGATATTTTTTCATTTATTTTCAGACAGAGTGGGTGGGAGGTAGGGAGGGAGGGAGAGAGAGAGAGAGAAAGAGAGAAAGAAATATTGATGTGAGAGAGACACATCAGTTGGTTGCTTCCTGCATGACCCTGACCAGGGCCAGGGACGGGACCGAACTGCAACCAAGGTACGTGCCCTTGACTGGAATCAAACCCTCGACTCTTTGGTCTGTGGGCCGATGCTGTAACCGCTGAGCCAAACCGGCCAGGGCAACATTTTGTTTTTTGTTTTTGTTAATCCTCACCTAAGGGTATTTTTCCATTGATTTTTAGAGAGAGTGGAAGTGAGGGAGGGAAGGGTAATGAGGGAGAGAAACATCAATGTGAGAGAGACACATCCAGTGGGTGCCCTCTGCATATACCCTGGAGATTGAACCTGCCACCCACGTATGTGCCCTTGACCAGTAATCAAACCTGAGATGCTTTGGTTAGGGCCGATGCTCTAACCGTCAAGCCAGGCAGGCCCAGGCCATTTAACAAATGCTAAAAAAAAAGGCAGAAAGGGAAAGGAACACAACATGTGTTGAGCACCAGTGTGAGCTATCACACACGTGTGCATGCATGTGTTTTCCCTTTTTCTTTTCATTCAATCCTCTAAACATCCTGCGAGGTCTCCATACTTACCCCTTTCTCACAGATGAGGAAACGGGCTCAGTGCGGAGAAGGCAGGAACTTGCCCGTTCTTGTTTGGTTGTCAGTGTTGCACTCAGGTTGCACAGGACTTGTCTCCAGACTGTCTTCAAACAGGTACTCACTTGGCTTGAGTTTTGATATTCCACTGTGTGCCTCCTGCAGGATGCAGCATTCTTAGGTGGTAATGATTACCTACTATGGAGGAACAGTGTAGGTTTTCCTTGGAAGCTTGATTTAAACTTTTTTATTTAAAAAGATTCTTATGTTTTAAATGTGGCAGCAAGCAGAGCATAGACAAGAAACTTAATTTTCCTTTTTTTTTTCCTCACCCAAGGACATTTCTCCATTTTTTGTTCAGATAGAGCGGGAGGGAGAGAGAGGAAGAGAAAGAAAGAGAAACATCGACATGAAAGGGACACATTGAATGGCTGCCACCCTCACGACCAACCAGGGCTGGGGACAAACTGCATCCGAGGTACGCGCTCCTAGTGGGAACCGAACCCAGGTCTCTCTGGACCGCAGGCTGACGCTCTAACCGCTGAGCCAACCGGCAGGGCAAGAAACTTAATTTTCAGTAAGAAAAATGAGTAATTTTAATCTGCTTAAATCCTTCAGTTGTACTATATATGAAACATTTCATTAGTAAGTTTAGAGCTCCTTCTAGTGGAAATTATTTTATCTGCAATTATTCTTTTTTAAAAAGCAAAATTGGTTGAATGTTTTGACTGTTCTTGTACATAGTGTAAATATCTTCTATTCACAGTTTAATAAATAGAAACAATTTAAGTATAACTGGGTTCAGAGTTCTATAAACTAGTAAATGTAAGTATTTAGGGAGACACATAATTTCCTCTTTGGTTTATATATACATTTGACTCTAGAAATTTTCTCCTTGTATTTCTCTCTTTCTCTCACATGTATACATTTGATTCTCGTTATTTGTGGTAGTGTGTTATACAAAATTTCCCCAAACACTGAATTAGCAAATACTGAACCATTGGTTCTAGGGGTGTGTGTATATATATATATATATATATATATATATATATATATTTAATAAGTATATAAATATATATGTACAGGTACATATGTTTTATATAGATTATAATGTTAAATCCTTACAACAACTCATTCTGGTATATTCTATTTACTTTATTCCAAAAGAGAAGAGGTAGTTCGGAAGTGAGGCCATGTTGCTTATAGCTGCCGGAGTTAGTATTCAGACCTCCTCCCACAGGTCGCAGACCTGGAACTGTCACTGTACCCTGGTCATTTGTGATGAGAGTTGAAACAAGAGTGTTGTGGGGCTCAGATTTTTTTTTCTACTTTATGCACATCTGTAAAAGACTGGGAATGCTCTGCTAGTATTGATATTGGGGTTACAAATACATTTTCGCAAGTAGGTGAATTTGCACATATGGAATCTGCAAATAATGAAGATCAACTGTATTGGTTTTGTTACTGAGAAAGTGGAGGACCTGGCTTAGATCTGGCCCAGTTGGGCCTGTTAGTACACCTTTAGCTGAACTTGACCATCCCCTTCCACGGGTGTCTGGTAGAGCTCACAGCCATAGGCCACGTAGGCTGCTTATACATGGAAAAGGTGGGGGGATGTACACGTTCTCCAGGGACACAGTTCTGTACAAGTTCCGGATTTCTAGGTGTGCCTGCTTCCTTACTCAAACAAGCGACCTTCCTGGCAGATGCAGTTATCAGTCAGAAAAGTGTTATCATTTTTCTTTGGCATGCCCTTTCTCTACTATAAACTTCCATTGTACTACCGTCCTTTTTCTTATTTCTACTTCTTCAAATAAAGTATTATATAGGGTTTACTTTTCTTGAAAGATAATTTGTAAATTATAAACACGTAAGTAAGCTATTAATAAAAGACTTCCTAATCAAGCTAGGCAAGTGTGGTAAGGGATTATTGAATTAAGGCCAGCGTTTTTCAAATGTTTTTGACTGACACACAATAAAAAATAAACATTTTTCACTGCGGTTCACTGTGTATACACATTTACAGTGTATCTATAGAGAGAGCACATAGCACTTTGGTAACCTGTATAAAATGAGTATATAGAAGTGTGTGTGTAATAAACTAATGTTTTACAAAGCAGTATTTACCCTTTCTATGTGTGATATATTCTGACATTTGTATTCTATTAAAAAAGTGCTGGGTAAGCCCTGGCCAGTTTGGCTCAGCGGTTGAGTGTTGGCCTGCGGACCAGAGAGTCCTGGGTTCGGTTTCCGCTAGGGGCACGTAACACACACACACACACACACACACACACACACACACACACAGTGCTGGGTAAGATTGACTGAAATGATTTCATTATCCACTGGTGGATAGTACCCTATATTTTGAAGAATACGTATTTAGGCCACTGGGACATCAAACTGAGATTTTCATGGCTATAAGAACTATCTAAAGTGTGTAAGTCATTCCAAAATGGTATATTTCCAGGTTGTAAACTAATTATGCTTTTGATTAGGTCTACATTACAACTATGTATGTTGTTATTTTATATTACATTTAAGTTTCTGGTATACTTAATGTTTATTTTGATTTTCCCCACCCTCCCACTTTATAGTGACAAAAATGTGGATATTAATGAAGAACAATTGGCTGGTTGTCTTTTGAGAAAACTAGGTGAGATATATTTTAAACAGTTTTTAAAATTTTAAGAAGCAAGGCAGCAACAAATAAAGTAATGTGTCTTTGAGGTGTTATATATTTGACAGTTTTCTTCAAAATAGCTTAGAGAATACTCTCCTCAATAAATTAATGTCCTTTTAAGATATTGATTGATTGACAGTTAAGCAATGGAGAGAATAAACAATACATCCGTGGGCAAAGTCAGTGGGAGAACTGAGACTCTGAGCCCTTGAGCTCTGCCTCTTTCTCTAAAAAAAAATATATATATATATATGTGTGTATGTGTGTGTGTGTGTGTGTGTATGTATGTGTGTATATTTTTATCCTCACCCGAGGACATTTTTCCATTTTTTGTTCAGATAGAGTGGGAGGGAGAGAGAGAAACATTGACGTGAAAAGGACACATCAAGTGGCTGCCACCCGCAGGGCCGGGGACAAACTGTAACCGAGGTACACGCCCCTAGTGGGAACCGAACCCGGGCCCCTCCTACTGCAGGCCGACGCTCTAACTGTTGAGCCAAACCGGCCAGGGCTTTAAACATATATTTTTATTGATTTTTTTTTTTTTTTTAGAGACGAAGGGAGAGAGAGATAGAAACATCGATGTGAGAGAGACACACATCAATCAGCTGCTTCCTGCACCCCCCTTTCTGGGGATTGAGCCCACAACCTGGGCATGTGCCCTCACCAGGAATTGAACCAGTACCTCTTAGTCCATGGGATGACACTCAATCCACTGAGCCACACTGGCTGGGCAGCTCTTGGTCTTTTTAATGAGAAACATTATCTTGGTATGTTGGTTTAAGTGTGCCATTTTAGATTAGTTTATTATCAAATGTAGACTGCCTGGCTATTAATGTAGTTGATAGAATCTTCGTCATTTCAGAGAAACATCTTGTTTTTCTTTGATCTCCATCCAGATACTGCTCCCTCATTAGGGCCTTTATTTTCCATGACACTTATTTTATTAATACTCCCATCTTTGATTTAATCTTTTCAGTCAGATAGATTTTTTAAACAGATGAGACAAATTGTTATTTAAATGTTAAATGGGTGAGAAATTGTGCTAACACGTATGTCTATTCAATGAATTGTTTTCTAGATGGCAAGATTGTTTTACCTGGCAACTTCCTATACATTACTTTCTATGGACGACCGTGCAAGTTGCAAGTGTTGCGAGTGAAAGGGGCAGACGGCATGATACTGAGAAGGCTTCAGAGTGACTCTGATACTGATGCTCAGGGAATGGCCTCAAAACGGGGCAGCATAGAAGCCAGTACCCTGGATGTGTCCTTACAGCTAAGCCAGCTGGATCTGGAAGAGCCTCAGGTCCCATCGTCAAGCAGTATTCCCTGCAAACCATTAGATGACAGAATAAATAAAGCTGGTGACATTTTGTCGGATGTCACACAGAGTCCTGGTGGCAGCAGTGGGCTCGGGCTAGAGGAAGTCACAGGTCTTGAATGTAGCTTTGCATCTGCCAGAGAAGGAAATGAGTACCTTATCGATGAAGAGAGATTGCTGAAGTCAGCCCGTCTGGGAGCAAAGTGCAACACTGATACTTTTTATTTCATTTCCTCAACAACGAGAGTCAATTTCACAAAAATTTGTACAAATTCAAAAGAGCAAGACAACTCATTCAAAGTAACTTATGACATGATAGGAGGCTTAAGTGGTCAGCTGAAAGCAATTAGAGAAATAATTGAACTTCCTCTCAAGCAGCTTGAACTATTTAAGAGTTACGGTATGATTTCTTCAGTGTATTGTACCCAAAAGTGTTCAATTCAAATTCAAAATCAGATGGCTCATTCTACTTATCTAATAATTGTTCACCCTCTTTCTCTCTCTCTGTTTTTTTTTTATCCTCACCTGAGGACATTTTTGCATTTATCTTCAGATAGAGTGGGAGGGGGAGAGGGGAGAAGAGAGAGAGAGAAACATCGATGTGAGAAAGACACATTAACTGGTTGCCACCCACCGGACCCCAACCGGGGCTGGGGACAAACTGCAACCGAGGTACGTGCCCTTAGCGAGAACTCGCTGATCTGCGGACAGACGTTCTAACCGCTGAGCCAAAAAGGCCAGCGTGCTCACCCTCTTCTATTTGTTCTGAGTGGTAGGTATAGTAGGAGGTGTGAGTGGCTTTGGGAGTTGCCAGTTAAATGAGCTTTCTTCCATGCTAGGTGTCTTTAGGTTGTAATGAGTTAGTTGTAGCCTTGTCTCCTTTAATTGCATACTTGCATAGTTTGTGTTGGATCTACAATTAAGTGTCTTGTCAGGCTAGATCTGCTGTAATGACTAAAGATATAATTCAACCATTCAGATATGCTGGAGCAAACCTCTCAGTTAGGAAATGTAGCTGTGTGCGGATTTCTGCATCGATGCAAGTGGTTAAGGGAGTGACTGGTTTCTAGGAAACTCGACTTCCGCTGTGTGGTCACTGCCTAGTTCTCTGCATGTACTTGGCGCGTACCATTGCTTTCTCTGCTTTTTCTTTCATGAATTTTTTAAAATATGTTTTTATTGATTTTTTTTTTTTTTTTTTTTAAGAAGGAGAGTAGGGAGAGGAGAGATAAAATCATCTATGTGAGAGTGAAACATCAATTGACAGCCTCCAGCACATCCCACACTGGGGAGCCTGAAACTCAGGAATGTGCCCTGACCGGGAATTGAACTGGGACTTCATTCCATGGGACGACGCTCAATCCACGGAGCCACACTGGCTGGGCTCATGAATCTATATAAATGAAATAAACCCTTGGATTGACATTTTGCTCGGAATGCCTATATGCCCCAAGATAGCTGGGGGAAAATTGGGATTGGTGGCTTATTTTATGCCTTTGTTATTATTTTTGTTTGTTTGTTTTTTAAAGATTTATTTTAGAGAGAAAAGAAAGGAGAGGGAGAGAGAGAAAGAGAGGGAAACATTGATATAAGAGAAACATAGATTGTCTGCCTTCCACACGCTCCCTATGCCTGACCAGGAATCGAACTAGTGACCTTTCAGTTCATGGGATGATGCTCAACCAACTGAGTCACACTAGCTGGGCTGGACTTTGTGTTGATAATATGGGATGGGGCATGGCAACAGTGTGGGTGTCCAGCCAGTTTTTTACCAATGTGCCTGGACAGGTTGGGTCTATAGAGAGAAAAACAGTCATTGCTGGAGATCAGTGTTTGCTAGCTATACCTCTTCCTGGGCAGAATAAAGAGGGTCTGACTTTTACTTTAGTTTATGATGCAATGTAAATTTATATTTTTAACTCATGTTCTAAGTCATATGACAACACAAGAAACCTAGTAATGCTGAATCCAACATTCTTTTTTTTTTTCTTCTAGGAATTCCTCCCCCTAGAGGAGTGTTACTGTACGGTCCTCCAGGTACTGGAAAGACAATGATTGCCAGGGCTATTGCTAATGAAGTTGGAGCCTATGTTTCTGTAATAAATGGTCCTGAAATTATAAGCAAGTAGGTGCATAATTTAATAGAATAAACAGTATTAAATATTGTTTTTAAAATTTATCTTTATTGTTGAGAGTATTACAGATGGCCCTCCCCCCCCCCCGATATACTTCTTAAATGTGTCTTTTAGGGCTCAGTCGTAAAGATTTAATTTATTTGCATGTATATTACTCAAATAGCTGAGCTCTTTAATATCTACAAATCAGACAGTTGCATTTTTTTACATATCTTGCAAAACCACAATAAAGTACTGGAAATTAAAAAATTTACATTATGGGCTTATTCTCAGCTGGTCTGCCCAAGACCGGCTGAGCGCCAACCCTAGTCCCCCGCGCGGCCCCGTTTCCTCTCCAACAAGATGAAAGAAACTATCATGAACCAGGAGAAACGCGCCAAACTGCAGGCACAAGCGCGCGTTGCTGGGAAAGGAACTGCTTGTAGAAAGAAGAAGGAGGTTCACAGAACAGCTACAGCAGATGATAAAAAACTTCAGTTCTCCTTAAAGAACTTAGGGGTAAACACTATCCCTGGTATTGAAGAGGTGAATGTGTTCACAAACAAGGAACGGTGATCCACTTTAACAACCCTAAAGTGCAGGCATCTCCGGCGGCGGACACTTGCACCCTTACAGCCGTGCGGAGACAAAGCAGCTGACGGAACTGCTACCCAGCATCTTCAGCCAGCTCGGGGCCCACAGAAGGACTAGTTAAAGGAGACCGGCTGAAGCTCTGCCCAAACAGTCTGTGGATGGAAGAGCACCACTTGCTCCTGGAGAGGAGGATGACGACGAAGTTCCAGATCTTGTGGAGAATGTGGATGAGGCTTCCAGGAATGAGGCAAACTGCATCGAGTCAACTTCTGAAGATAATCTTGAAGAAGTTACTGGGAGCTGCTATTTTATATTATGACTGTTTTTTTTTCAAATTTTGTTTATGGATCTGATAAAATCTAGAGCTCTAATATTTTTTAGCCCAACCCCCTGGACATTGCAGCTCTTTACAGTTTTTGCTTATACGGAAATCATTCTTTGCAGCTAATTAAGCTGAAGAGGCCTGGGAATAAAGTTTGAAACAGGTTAATACAGTTCTTTGCCTAGTATAAAAAAAAACCCAAAAAACTTACATTATGATGATAAACTCTGTTTATGCTGTTATTATTAAGGTAATAAATGAAACAAAATTTCAGAGATAAGATTTATTACTGAGCCCCAATTATAATGATTTGGAGAATGGGGTAAATATCTAGAAGTGAAACAGGTTCAGAACCCTTGTCAGAAAGATTTAAATTATATAAGGTAAACACAAAACAGTAAGGATACCTTATTTATTGAGTAGTTCTGGTTTTTAAATAACAACATTTAGTCTCACGTTTATCATATCATTTTAGCATTAATATACAAAAACTAAAATAGGTAACAGTTGTAGTCAAATTTAAAACAGCGTATATCAGTATATCGTACTTATTTATTTATTTATTTAAATTCTCACCCGAGGATATTTTTACATTGATTTTCAGATAGAGTGTGAGGGTGTGAGAGAGGGAGAGACATAGATGTGACAGAGGCACATCGATAGGTTGCCTCTCGCACGACCCCAACCAGGGCCAGGGATCCAACTGCAACCGAGGTGCATGCCCTTGACCAGAACTGAACCTGGGACTCTGGTCTGCGGGCTGATGCTCTAACTGCTGAGCCAAACCGGCCAGGGCCGTGCTTATTTTTTTAAAGAAAAACTAGTTACTTGGGTCATTCCCTCATTTAATCTCTGTTTTAGTAGGTGAGTAGGAGTATCTTTTTAATTAAAATAAAAATTTGGGCGAAAATGAGCTGAAATGGAATACCAGACTATATGAACCATCTGTGACTCTAAAAACGATTCGTCTTTAGTGTTGACTGCATGCTTTATCATAATTTACAGTTACTTCTTTTTCTTTATAAATATAGATTCTATGCCAGGTAGAAAATAAACATTGTCTTGGCAAATAGCAAAAAACGAAACTCTCACAATAGTTGCAAATGCATAATTAACCTTAAAATATTAAAAATACCATGCAAATTTAACAACACTGGGTACTTTTATTATATAGAACTTAATAATGAACAAAAATGACTTCCAGTCTCATAGCATTTAAAAAAACAAAAAATCCTCACCCAAGGATAGTTTCCACTGATTTTTAGATAGAATGGGAGGGAGGGAGAGAGAGAAACATTGATATGAGAGAGACACACCAATTGGTTGCCTCCCACATGATTCCAATCAGGACTGGGGATTGAACCCAACCAAGGTATGTGCCCTTGACTGCAATCAAATCTGAGACTCTTTGGTTCTCGGGACGACGCTCTAACTGCGGAGCCAATTTGGCCAGGGCTCATGGCCCTTACAGGTTTATTGAAGAGTTCTGGGTTCACAGCTCAGAATAGGTTTTGTGTGAACTCTTCTGAGGCTTGGGTTTCTAAAATCTTTCTCTTTGGGTGGTTCCTTTTTATTTTTATATTTATTTATTTTTTTATTTTTATTATTGATTTATTGATTCATATATATCTACAGTAAAGCAATTTCTTTTTTTTTTTCAAATCTTTATTGTTGGATGTAAAATGTATTACATATGTTCCACATTTTCCCCCCATTGACCCTCTCCTCCCCACTCCCTCCCCCCTCCCACCTTTTCCCACACTATTGTCTGTGTCCATTGGTTATGCATATAAGTTCTTTGGTTTATTTCTTCCCACCCCGCCAACCCCTTTCCCTTTGAGGTTTGTCAGTCTAGCAATGAATTTGTGCTTCTTAATCCCTTCACCTTTTTCACCCATTCCCCCACCCCCCCCTCCCAACTGGCAACCAACATAATGTTCTCTGTATCTATGAGAATGTTTCTGTTCTACCTGTTCATTTTGTTTGTAGATTCCATTGTTGATACATATGTATTCATTGCCATTTTGTTTGTTCATACATTTTATCTTTTTCTTCAAAAAGACCCTTCATCATTTCATATAATAACGGTTTGGGCCCTGGCCGGTTTGGCTCAGCGGTTAGAGCGTCGGCCTGCGGTCTGGAGAGACCCGGGTTTGGTTCCCGCTAAGGGCATGTACCTTGGTTGCAGTTTGTCCCCGGCCCTGGTTGGTCGTGCGGGTGGCAGCCACTCGATGTGTCCCTTTCACATCGATGTTTGTCTCTCTCTCTCTTCCTCTCTCCCTCCCACTCTATCTGTGAAAAAAATAAATAAATAAAAAAAATAACGGTTTGGTAGTGATGAACTCCTTTAACTTTTTCTTGTCTGGGAAAGTCTTTATATGGCCATCGATTCTAAATGACAGCTTTGCAGGATAGAGTAATTTTGGTTGTAGGTTCTTGGTTTTCCTCACTCTGAATATTTCTTGCCACTCCCTTCTGGCCTGCAAAGTTTCTTTTGAGAAATCAGCTGACAGCCTAATGGGAACTCCCTTGTAGGTAACTAGCTGCCTTTCTCTTGCTGCTTTTAAGATTCTCTCTTTGTCTTGAACCTTTTGCATTTTCATGATGACGTGTCTTGGTGTGGCTGGGTGGTTCCTTTTTAAAGACTAGAGGAGGCTCAGGTGCTGAGACATCTTTACTAATGATGATTTTTTACCTGCCATGGGGTCACCTCCTCTCAGCACCTGAGATGCTCTGCTTAAATACGCATTTTAAAAAATGGCTGCATAGTATTCTGTCTGTTTCATATGTTAAAATGTTTTAATTTTTCTTTTTAATGTATATATAAATTAAGTTTGGAAAATAAATTTTGAAAATTAATTTTAAGTATTCTGGAAATGTTTGGAAAGTCAGAGTTGGTCATTACATGTATTTTATTTGTTACAGATTCTATGGGGAAACTGAAGCAAGGTTACGTCAAATATTTGCTGAAGCCACTCTGCGGTATTCTATATTTTCAGATGTTTGAAATTAGTAGTTAAGGCTATATTAATCAAAGTAGAGATACCAACACTTTATACTAAGCATGAAAGAATAGTACAAAACTAATAGTGATAGCCCTAGAAATAGATTGTAAGTCTAATGACATTATATTTAATCTATTTCTATCTAATACTATTTGGGAAGTTTGATGCATGAGTTATTTTATAAGGTAGCAAAAGGTACAGACTTCCAGTTATTAAAGAAATAAGTCTTGGAGATGTGATGTATAGGATGGTGACTATAGTTAATATAACTATCTCATCACAAGGAAGAAAGTATTGCAACTATGCATGGTGACAGATGTCACTATGACTAGACGTGATCATTTCACAAAGTACAAATATTAAATTGTTATGTTGTATACTTGGAACTAATATAATGTTATATGTCAGTTATATCTCAATTTTTAAAAATGACATAAGGTAAAGACTTAAGATAGTGTTATTTGATATTATGTGACTTTGCTTGAGTATATAAATTTATGATTTTCTTTCCTTTGGGTACTTAGGCATAGTCAGTATATCTAATTCCCTAAATAGACTATTATAGTAGCCCTTTTTACTTAAAACTTTGTTTTATTATACTTTGCTTCAAAGGGACAAATGTTTTGCTCTTTAACAACAGTTCTTATTGAATATTATTCCTCAAATTATTCTACCATGTTACATTGCAAGGAGCATTAGAGTATGGCCTATAACCTGGTCTAATGCAATATTATTTATAATATGGCTATGTTCTACCATTGTTTCGGTATTTAACTTACCATAATTACTACTCTCTTATGAAAAGAACTTCTATTTTTCAAGTATTTTTTTCCAGTGATAGTAGATGAAATAAGTAGTCTGTAGTCATAACACTGAAGGTTTGAGAACCAGAGTATACTTTATTGTTTAATGTATTTTTGCTGTCATTATTATGTTCCTGGCAGTTGAGGTTTTCTCTTATGAGAGACTTTGCATCTTTTTGTAAGAACATTGACCATCTTTAAAGTTTTTTTTTTTTGTTAACCCTCACCCCAAGGATATTTAGAGAGAGTGAAAGGGGGGGAGGGAGAGAGACACATTGACTGGTTGCCTCCTGCATGACCCCGACAGCCAGGGATCTAACCAGCAACCCAGGCACATGCCCTTGACTGGAAATTGAACCCAGGTCCTCGGGCTGACACTAACTGCTAAGCCAAAGTGGCCAGGGTGAAAGTTCTTTTTGTTGTTGTTGTTGTTAATCCTCACCCGAGGAGATATATATATATATATATATATATATATATATATACACACACACACACACACATACATATATATATATATATATATTTCCACTGATTTTAAATAGAGTGGAAGAGAGAGAGGGAGGGAGAGAGAGAGAGAGAGAGAGAAAGAAACATTGATGTGAGAGAGACACATTGATAGGTTGCCTCCCGCAAGACCCTGACCAGGGCCGGGGACCCAACCACAACTGAGGTACAGGCCCTTGACCGGAATTGAACCTGAGACTCCTTGGTCCTGGGACTGATGCTCTAACCGCTGAGCAAAACTGGCCAGGGCTCTTTTTTTTTAATAGGTAAAAAAGAAAGCATCTTTACTCTCTCTCCCTTGGACTTTAAACCTGCTCCGAGGGACAACATCTCTAGCCTCAGCTTCTGAATTAATTGAGGTATAACAGCTCAGTGGGCATTAGTGGGCAAGTTCTGCCTAGACACAGACCCTCATCTCTGGAGCTGTAGACTGTTTTTAGTTCTCTTCTTTTTATTGAGGGCAGATGCGCTAGAAAGTAACTTTGGTGCGTTAATAATGTGGGCTAGAATTAATGTAAGGTTTTTTAGTTTAACATCTGTTGCCTTTGTCTTTAATATTATCAGTTAAACCCTAAATGTGACATGTTGTGTTTTTAGAACTACTTAGTTTTAATTGAAATGTCATATATCAAATTTAAAAATTACATGCCCATTAGATAATTCATTTTACTTGTTTGCTTTTAGGCACCCATCGATTATTTTTATCGACGAGCTGGATGCACTGTGCCCAAAAAGAGAAGGGGCTCAGAATGAAGTGGAAAAAAGAGTTGTAGCTTCACTCCTGACACTGATGGATGGTATTGGTTCGGTGAGTATAGCACCAGCATTGAATCTGTGTCGGAAGGGTCAGTTCTTAATCATAAGGGGAAAATATTAGCCACAAAAACTAAAGGAAAGGACCATTAAGTAATTTTCTTTGGCAGATTTCATAGAAACTGCTAGGAGAGTATAACCTGCCATGTTTTTCTAGCATATAAAATTATATACAGCAATGTATTTCTTTTTTTTTTATTCTCACCCGAGGACATTTTTCCATTTTTTGTTCAGATAGAGCGGGAGAGAGAGAAAGAGAGAGAGAGAAAAACATTGACGTGAACGGACACATCGAGTGGCTGCCACCCACATGACCAACCAGGGCTGGGGACAAACTGCAACTGAGGTACGTGCCCTTAGCGGGAACTGAACCCAGGTCTCTCTGGACCGCAGGCCGATGCTCCAACCGCTGAGCCAAACCGGCCAGGGCAATGTATTTCTTTTTAAATTAATGTTATTAACTTAAAAACCTGAAGCAAAAATCAGTAAGAAAGATTTAGTGGTTGAATTTTAGGGGAATTAACAAAGTAATTTCATGAGTAAATGTTATATATCCATGTATGAATTGATTATTGGGGGGCAAGTAAAAGGAAAGAAAGAGAGAATAATGGAAAATGTATTTGTACAACATTTAAAATGAATTTACCTTGTTATCAGATTCTCTGATAGGGCATACACTCTTATATTAATAAAATCCATGTGCTAATTATGAAAGGGAGATATATATTCCTGACAGTCATTTACCAGAAGAAGACACTTCTTATGCAGGACTGCAAACAACTTGTCTTTTAGAGTCATGTTAGAACCTAAAGAAATTTAAAAAATGATGTATTCCAAAGTCTTTTGCATATTAAAAACTGGACTACCAGAACTTTTTCATTTTTGCTTCCTTTTGGTAGAAACTGAGCATGCAAAAATAATGTGAAGGTTTGGTATTAAGTGTCTATTATTTGCTAACAATGTGTTCTAATTTTAAGAGTAACACAAGAAAAATGTTGCTGTCGCCCTGGCCGGTTTGGCTCAGCGGTTAGAGCGTCCGCCTGCGGTCCAGAGAGACCCGGGTTCGGTTCCCGCTAAGGGCATGTACCTCGGTTGCAGTTTGTCCCCGGCCCTGGTTGTTCGTGCGGGTGGCAGCCACTCGATGTGTCCCTTTCACATCGATGTTTCCCTCTCTCTCTCTTCCTCTCTCTCCCTCCCACTCTGTCTGTACAAAAAATGGAAAAATGTCCTCGGATGAGGATTAAAAAAAATAAAAAAATAAAAAAATGTTGCTGTCTAGGGGAGGCTAGTGACCACCTGGTTCTCAGTCTTGGGGCAACACCTAGGTGTGATTGTCATGTCTCACTCAGGTTTGGTTCTCAGTTTATAAAGCTGGAGAATCCAGTGTTAGTATTTTGGAGATGGTGGGGCTCTGAGGACTGACCCGCAATGACAACACTCACAAGACCGATATATAATTTGGGGTGCCAGTTTGTTTACAATAAGAAAAATAATTATTAAGCTGACCAAATATCTTGGTTTATGGACTCTGTTTTCACTCAAAGGGCAAATATATTTGGAGAGCTGTATTATAATTAGAATTCTTGGTGAGTAGGAAGTCAGGTGAAAGGCTCTGTGTTGGAGTATCTCAGTTATTCAGTCCCAGCTGCCTTGTCCTCCGCTGCTGGTGCAGGCCTGCTGTGGATTGGTGTTCTTGCCTCTGGGCAGGCCTGGGAGCATGTGACACTGAGGTTTTAGTCTGAAGGCGTTTAAAGGCCTGTTTTTGTCTCCTAAATTCATAATTTATGGATTCATTATAATCCATGCATTTTCTGTTGGCACAGCCAGTGTAATTGATTATGTTTGCGTTTTGTTTGAATCACATTTTCTTTAAGCTTATCTCTGAGATTACACGTGGGTCTCCTGAGTAGAATGTTGAGTAATTTCTATAGGTGGCTGACCATGATCACAGTTCTTTTCTTTTTTTAATTCTTACCTGTGGATATGTTTTTATTGATTTTAGAGAGAGAGGGAGGGAGAGAGAGAAACATTGATGTGAGAGAGACACATTGATTGGTTGCCTCCTGTACATGTCCGTATCAAAACCTAGGTATGTGCCTTGACCTCTGACCGGGAATCAAACCCGAGACCTTTTGGTGTATGGGACGATGCTCCAACCAACTGAGCCACTCGTCCAGGGCCATGGTCATAGTTCTTTATAATTTTATTCTCAGAGAGTAAAAGTCCATACATATTCAAGAGTGGTTGAAGCTTGGGTGTTGGTTATATTGTTATCTATGTTTTTAGGGATTTAAAAAGTTACCAAAATTAAAAAATCAATCCATGTGTAAAGAAAATTTCTTTGACAACTGTAATAGAACCTTCTTCTATTTGAATAATCTGTAGGTCATAATCTTTGCTTTCAAGTAAGGGAAAAGTACAACTAAAAACATTTAAAGTAAAATAACTATATGATGGGGTGTTATATGTGTTACTATTCATAGGAACAGTGTAAGATGTTAGATGTGGGAGAGACATACTTACAGTAGATGGGAAGATATAAGTCTTTCCAGGTGAGGGATCATTTAGGCCAAGCTTTGGAAAATGTGGGATGAGTAATAGAAGTGTAATGGATAGAACTTAGCAGCCTGGACAGTTAGATCCATCCCTCGTTGCCTATATAGTGTGTAGGTGTGTCTCATTCTCTCTCTATAAATGTATGTGTGTGTGTGTGTGTGTGTGTGTGTATGTATATATATCTTTTACTTTTAGAAGAATAATTTGTTTTTATTTTATTTTGTTAGGAAGGAAGTGAAGGACAGGTGTTAGTCATTGGGGCCACAAATCGCCCTCATGCTTTGGATGCTGCACTCCGCCGACCTGGACGATTTGATAAAGAGATTGAGATTGGAGTTCCTAATGCTCAGGACCGGCTAGACATCCTTCGGAAACTGCTTCGAAGGGTGCCACATGCACTCACCGAGGCCGAGCTGCTCCAGCTGGCAAACAGTGCTCATGGATACGTTGGGGCCGACTTGAAAGCCTTGTGTAACGAATCAGGTGAGTGATTTGCCATATAGTTAGTCTGTGTGGGTGGACTTAATAACTGGTTTGTTTACATACTGATAATTTATATCTCATTTCTTTTTGTTTTTATCCTCACCGGAGGACATTTTTTTTTTTTTTTGCATTTATCTTCAGATAGAGCAAGAGGGAAAGAGGGAGGAAGGGAGAGAGAGAAACATTGACATGAGAGAGACACATCGAGTGGTTGCCACCCATATGACCCCAACCAGGGCAGGGACAAAAGCAACCGAGATACGTGCCCCTAGTGGGAACCGAACCCAGGACTCTCTGGTCTGCAGGCCGACACTCTAACCGCTGAGCCAAACTGGCCAGGGCTATATCTCATTTCTTAATGAAAATAGGTAATTTTTTTCTAATTATAAAATATATATATTTATTGAAAAAAATCTAGGTAATTCAGGAAACTATAAAAAAGAAGAAAGAAAAATTACTCTTAACTCTACCTCCTAAAGATAATTGCTATTATAGCATATATCTTTCAGACTTTTCTTAAGTCTACACACACACTCTCACACACGCACACACACACACACACACACACGGACGTGTAACTGGATGCATTAATGGCAGTATTAATGACGACGGTATTTATTAACATTGTGCTTTGGAAATTAGAGTGCCTGCAAAGAGATCAGAATTTTTCTTAAGGATCAGTTTTGTATTTGTTGAAGTGCTATAACTACTTAGTGAAACTAAGGAATTCTATGCCTCCGAGTATGTGTGGTGATATTTAAGTCTGAAAACATTAAAGGGCTGTTATTCATCAGCTGGCCCTTCGACTTTGAGAACTTCACCATGGCATAACTGGAGTTACTTTGGAAGCCCTGAAGACCTTTTAACGTTGGGCAATTTTTCAGAGTAATTACAACCATGGAAAGGTATTCAAATCAGGGCCATTTTTATAAGCTATTGAAATATTTGATCTGGCAAGTAAGAATTTATTGAAAAATATCTGATGGCCCTTTTTTCCCTCCTGAAAGCATGTGTCTTTTTTGGTAACCTGAAAAAGCTAGTCACGTATCTCAAAACATCTCTGGTTTGCCAGTAATCTTAGGTTCCTTACATTTATTCCTTTTTCTTATACAGGCATTTGTTTCTAAGTCCTTTCATATTTGGTGGAAATTTTTTCAGTTGTGGCATTCTGTTATTCCAGTTTGTGACCTATCCAATGTTATAAGGTGCTTTAAAAATAATTTAACTCTTGCACTGCCTGGGTGGCTTAGTTGATTGGAGCATCCTCTGGTACACCAAAACGTTGAGGGTTCTATTTCTGGTCAGGACAAATACCTAGGTTGTTGGTTCAATCCCTTGCCAAGGCATGTATGGGAGGCAACTGATTGATGTTTTTTTCTCTCTCTTTTCTCCTTCCTCTCTAAAATCAATTAAAAAAAATTTTAGGTGAGAATTAAAAATACAATAATACGCCCTGGCCAGTCTGGCTCAGGACCTTTAGAGCGCCGGACCTTGGACCAATGAGTTGCGGGTTCAGTTCCAGCCAAGGGCACATACCTCGGTTGCGGTTCGTCCCCGTCCCTGGTCAGGGCCATGCAGGAGGCAGCAAGTTGATGTGTTCCTCTCATATGATATTTCTCTCTCGCTCCCTTTTTCTCCCTCCCATCCATCTGAAGGTAAATGGAAAAATGTCCTCAGGTGAGGATTTAAAAAACAACCATGATAATAATAATGTAACCGTTGTATGGAGATTTATTCTCCACAGAATTCCAGTTCCTTTCAGATGTTTTCCTTTGGACAGATCAGTTGGAATGTAGGTTCTTAGACATTATCATGTTATCAGAACCGTCTGGGGAACGTAGGAAACAGGCGGCCGGTGTGCCCCATTTCCCCAGTTTCTGATTTAGTCTCTGAGCTGGCGCCCGAGAACGTCTGATAAGTTCCCAGCTGCTGCTGCTGGTCTGGCAACCACACTTCAAGAGCCCAGGACACAGGACGTTGGTTCTCAAACCTCATACGCATCATGTTCACCTGGGAAGCTACACACACCCCTTCCCCATACTTCACTGAGTAACGGGAGTGGGGAACTGGAATCAATATTTATGTTGTTTCCCAAGTGATTGTGAAGCAGCCAGTCCTGCATTTGCCTGTGAGCAGTTTGAATTCCTGATTTAGGGTCGTGGTTTTCCAGTTTAAACCCGTGTAAGAATCTCTCGTGGAGTTTGTTAAGAATAGTTCTGGGCCCCTTTCCTACTGGGTCAGTAGGTCCCGGGGACCCAGGAATTATGTAGTTCTGTCAAGCCACAGGTGGTATCAATGCTGCTGGTCCGAGGACTCCACTCTAAGAACCACACTGATCTAGGCCAAACAGCTCTATGAGTTTTGAAGATGCTCTGTAACTGATTTAAATAACTGGATTAACATTAGGGGATGTAATTTCCTGACTACCTCTGATAGTTTTGAATTTCTTCCCAGAGTTTTTATGTGGCACTAATGTTCTATTTCAAACTATATCATTTAACTCTCCTGCTCTAGGTAAAAAATGAGCGTGGCCCTGGCCGGTTTGGCTCAGCGGTTGGAGCATCAGCCTGCAGATCAGAGAGTCCCGGGTTTGGTTCTCACTAGGGGGCATTTACCAAAAAAAAAGAGTGTCCACGTTTGTCCTGCAGGTATTTATAATGGCTTTGAATAAAACTGAAAAATGATACTTCTGAAAGATAGAAAAGCCACAATTAAGGGAATAGTTAAGAATTAAAAATACAAATAAGCATGTAGACATCTGTTTTTCCTGGAACATTTCTTGCTCATGGTTTTTGGACCTGTGTGCTCTTTGAGCTTTTGGGTGTTGGCTGTCTGATGGTTTTCCTTCTTTCTGGACCGCCTACTAGTCAGGGCACCTCTGCCTTTTCTAACCCAACATGGTGCACAGATGTCTGTTAATCACATACAGTGAAGTGATTCCAAGTTTCACAGAACCTATGTGAACTATGTTACAGATTGTTTTTGTAATCTAAAGGTTGTTTGCAGAATGCTAATGCAAAAGGTCAGAACCCCTGTGGTATATGTTTATTTGTGCAAGCTTTTCCAGAGGATGGAAGGTTTGCAATCTTCTTTATAGACTGGACGAGTGACACTGTCTCTTGCTTTCCTCAACTTCCTCATCTTTTTAGCATTACCAAATGGTTTCCCTAACTTTTACCCTTGTCTCCATAATGATACGGAAGTTGGAAATACTACAGTAGTGTTGCTTTCAACACTTGGATCTCTTATTATCTGAGCAGATATAATGGTAATGTTGAAGGTTGAGTGTGAAACTTATTTTCAAATGTTATGTTTCCTTTATAATTTACTTTTGTGCTAGAGCATGGTTTGATATGTCGTGACTTGTCCAAAAGTGTAATGTTTTGTAGCTCACCTTTTTAAGCAGAGAGCAGCTGCATTTTGAAATGTTTTATCTCAAGCGGACAAGCTGTTTACAAGCTGAACTCTTGGCCCTGGCCGGTTTGGCTCAGCGGTTAGAGTGTCGGCCTGAGGTCTAGAGAGACCTGGGTTCGGTTCCCGCTAAGGGCACGTACCTCGGTTGCAGTTTGTCCCTGGCCCTGGTTGGGTCATGTGGGTGGCAACCACTCGATGTGTCCCTTTCACATTGATGTTTCTCTCTTTCTCCCTCCCACTCTATCTGAACTATCGAAAAATGTCCTCGGGTGAGGATAAAAATATATATATATATACAAACTGAACTCTGATACATCCTGACATTGAATGTCTATGTTTGTATTCCTTCTGGGATTAGGCCACCTTTTTAATTAATTAGTTGCATAGCCTTTTATTAATTCCATCAAATTTATAATGTTTTAAATTAACAACCTAGATAAGCATAGTATACTTTTGGAAAGCATGAAATGTTAATTATGTAGCAGAGTCATGAATCATATAAACTCTGTTGAATGTTAGAAGATGCTTAGCAACAGTGTTGTCCAAATACAGGGATTTATTATAAACTTGTCCTCCTACGGCTGCCTGTGCCATTTCAGAAGAGTGAGTATACACAGAGTTAGCTTTTCCAGGGGGTGGACATTTTGTTTACAGGGAAAGGAAGTATTTGCCTCACTGCTCTATGGATTTATCTTTAGCATCCTGGTTGATTACACATCATTTCTTCGTGTTTATACCAAATACTTGGGCCTTCATAAGACAGCATCACCAAACAGGAGGAATGAAAACTCATAAACAATGCTTTTATCATTATTACTCTTAAGTAGTACTAGTAACAATACTAAAGTTAATGACTGTAGTAAAACCTTTTTTGAGATGGAAAATTGTATCTGTCTTATAGCAGAGTTCTGAGATATTTATAGCTGTTAGTCCTCCCTCCCACCAGTGACTAGCTTATTTTGATGGGAATTTATGGTGGATCTACTATGTACAAAGTACTTAACTCTTATGAAAGGTTCTCTTTCTAACATTTTCCACCATGTTTGGAATTCTTCCAATGGTGTTTTCTAAGTTAGAATTAAAATACTGATTCTGTGAAAATTCGTGAGTTTTAAATAAAGTCCAGGGACATAGTGGGGTTTAGTAGAAAGCTTATAGTGTAGGTTCACATATTAGCCCTGCCCTTTACCAGCTAGCTGAGAGTCTTTGGGCAAGTCATTGAACCTCTTGAACTCTGTTTCCTCACCTGCTAAACAGGGATAACATACCTTTTAAAGAATTCTTATGAGGTTTAAAAACAAAGTCTGGCTGCAGTGGTCATGATTCATTCAGGCCCTTGGTTAGTAGGACCTTTCTCTCTTTAAAAAAAAAAAAGTATTGTATTTTATGTGTACTTATACATTTCTCTGGTAGAAGTTTACTTGAATTTTGGCAATATTCCTGATATTTTATGAAGTATTCATGATTATTTCAGTATAAGAGACATCTGGCAGAACCCTTTGCCTTGCTAGAGGAGTGACTTTTACTGCATCTGGATCAGTGAAGGTCTTTCCTGTCAATCAGATGTCAGGCTAGATACAGAGGAG